TCAGCACACAGGCATCTACACACTCACACTCACACACTCACACTTACGCTCACACTCACACACGTACGCAGACATGGTGTGTTTGTGCTTGCTGACACGGCAAGCCTGCTAACCAAAGGCCCCAAGAACACAACATCAGCAGCTACAACCAGCAGCAAGGGCGGCAAGAGGGCTACACATGCAACAACAACAGCAGGGACAACGAAACCAACAACAAGTGCAACAGCAACAGCAGGAGCGTCGTCATCGTCGTCGACAGCATCACACGTCCCGTCAACGCCACGGCGACAGCAGCGCGGTGCCGGCTCCACGGGCGCGTCGCCCTCATCCCGCATCCCATCGCGCAGGTGCGTGAAGACGTGTTTGTGTTTATGTGTGTGTGTGTTGTGTACATCTGTGTCTGTGTGTGTGTGTATGAGTGTATTTGTGGACATGATATGCACGTGTGAGTTTCCAGTATTCAGTACTTTGTGTCGTCATGACCGCCATTACTCACCCCTGCCATCCCACCCACACTCACTGCCCCTCTTGCATCCCGCCCTGCAGCCCGAAAGGTGCGGGCAAGAGCCCGCGTGGGCGGGTGTCGTCCGGCAGCGGCAAGGTCGGTGTTGGCTCTCGCGTCACCGTCAACGGCAAGCGCGGCCATATTCGCTTCATCGGAGACACAGGTGCGTGTGGGGGTGAGAGCTTTGTCAACGCATGTGTGTGTGTGTGTGTGTGTGTGTGTGTGTGTGTGTGTGTGTGTGTGTGTGTGTGTGTGTGTGTGTGTGAGGATGTGTGTGTGTGTGTGAGGATGTGTGTGTGTGTGTGTGCGTGTGTGTGTGTGTGTGTGAGGATGTGTGTGTGTGTGTGTGAGGATGTGCGTGTGTGTATGCGTGGCGTAATGCCATCGAGAACAAGCTCATCCTTTGTCTCCCCACGACAAACCAACCTCCTCCTCCACCTTCCCTTCCACATACCCACACCATGACAGAGTTTGCTGATGGAATGTGGCTTGGCGTTGAGCTGAGCGAGCCTGCGGGCAAGAACGACGGCACGGTGCAGGGCAAGCGATACTTTACGGCCAAGCACGACCACGGCCTCTTTGTACGGCCGACGCGTGCCACCGTGCACGGCGTCACCGTTGACAAGCTCCTCGCGTGACATGACTGCTGCCTTGTAGCAATGCACACCTTGCTGTTTGTGGTTGCCTTATTTACACCACATACACACGCAAAGACACACACCTTCACACACACACACACACCTTCACACACACACACACCTTCACACACACACACACACACACACACACACACACACACACGCACACACACACATTCACACACCTTTCTCTTGCGTTGTCGACAATTATGAACATGATGGTCAATTTTCAGCAACGCTTATGCGAACCAAACCAACAACGCCAAATCAACCAAACACACACACACACACACACACACACACACACACACACACACACACACACACACACACACACACACACACACACACACACACACACACACACACACACACCGACAACGATGTCACTCGAGCTGGTGAATGGCCGGAGCAGAGGAGGCGGGTGTGCGGCAAGCATGAACCGCCTCATGTACTCCAAAGCATACCTCGTGTTCTACCTCCTCATAGCCTTGCTCTGCCTCGGCGAACTCATCTGGACCATCGTCACACAGTGCGTTCACGTGATGTATCCAGCAGCTTTCAATCAAACCGCCTCGAGCTGCTGCTGTCACCGTTCTTGTTGTTGCGATGCAGCAGGATGGCACAGCTTATGAATATGTGTGTGCGTGTGCGTGTGTGTGGTGTGTGGTGTGCGTTGTGCGTTGCGCTGTTGTCTGGCTCACGCCCTTCCCTGTAACCTCACACCTTGTCAACGCTGCCCCACGCACGGCAGGGATGTCACGTTGGAGTACTTGGTTGTTGACATCATTCTCAATGTTCTCATCATCTTGGAGCTCATCATTCGCTTGATCGCCATTACCCCTGCTGTAAGCACGCGAATGTGCGTGTGCGTGCGTGCGTGTGTGTGTGTGTGTGTGTGTGTGTGTGTGTGTGTGTGTGTGTGTGTGTGTGTGTGTGTGTGTGTGTGTGTGTGTGTGTGTGTGTGTGTGTGTGTGTGTGTGCGTTGCTGTGTTCAGGCACACGTTTTTTCAATCACCGTGATTATTTTATGACGCTCACACGTACATGCGATTGTCTCGTGCACTTGAACAGCGGTTCGTCAAATCAAAGTGGAACTTGGTGGATGCCTTTATCGTGCTCGCCAGCGTCGTTACTCTTATTCTGGCCATCGTCGAGTTCTCAACTCCAGGAGAAGAAGAGGTGCGGTTGTGTGTGAGAGAGAGAGTGTGTGTGTGTGTGTGTGAGTGTGTGAGTGTGTGTTTGTGAGAGAGAGAGAGTGTGTGTGTGTGTGTGCGTGAGAGAGAGTGTGTGGTGTGTGTGCGTGTGTGAACGTGTGCAAATATGTGCACACGCGTTGTGTACGCACGTGGTGTATGTGTGCTGCGTGCCTTGGTTGATTGGTGTTAACCAAACATCTCTGTGCAAATGCCAATTTGAATCCACGCATGCCAGGTCATCTTGGCTGCGAGCGGGAGCGTCTTCGTTGCGTTGCGTTGCGCCATTCAAGTCTTCCGAATCTTCCTCCTCCTGCGCATGTGCGTAATAGCTGATACGTACACATTGTGCATCTATCTGTGTCTGCGTGCGTGCGTGTGCGTGTGCGTGTGCGTGTGCGTGTGCGTGTGCGTGTGTGTGTGTACCATGATGACCTGTACATGGTCTCCCTGTCCTCACCATGTCCTCATCATGTATGCACTTCGCTTGCTTGCAGGCAATGGAAACGCCGTCAGATCTTGGGCACCATGGACGTTAGTGCTGATGCATCATGCCGTACACCTTTTACTCTCACACTCTCATTGACACTGACACATTGTCTCTCTTGCCCAAGCGTTGCTGTTCTTACCAACACACACACATGCACACGCAAACACCACTGCATCCCTGCTCATCTTCACACCTTCCCCGTCATGCCACTGTCCTCTGTGTATGTGTGTGTGTGTGACAGGACGGCGACGATTCGGACGACAGCCAGCGGCTGATGTTTGGCGACCTCGACGAGCCAGACGCACACGACTTCAACTGTGCGTTTGCGTTGTCGGGGAATTGAAATGGCGGCTGCGCTGTGGCTGTGATGTTGGTGGTGCGCTCTTTTTCTCACTCAAACACACACACACACACACACACACACACACACACACACACACACACACACACACACACACACACATACACACATACACAACGCGTGCAGCGTTTATCCCGCCGGATGCACAAGACGATCACGGTTATCTGCAGAACATGGACGAGCTGTTGTAACGCTCCTCGCAATGGCGCAATCTGGATGCTGAATCCTGTTCTCCACACACTGCTGTCCTGCCTTTGCTACTTCTGCTTTTGTTTCTGTCAACGTGCTGGTGCCACGCCCATGCTGTCCCCACCTTTATTGACCCTTTAGGTTCTGTACACACTCTGTATTCTTGCCGCATTCCTTACTCCTTCTGTTGTGTTGATCTGTTTGCGGATGTGACGTGTATGTCTGTGTATGCGTGTGCAAGTGAATGTGTATGTGTATGTGTATGCATGTGAGCGTGTATGTGCATGTTGTGCATGTGTGTTATTCGCGTCATTGTCATAATTGCACCTTTCCTGTGCTGGCGTTCCAAGCCTGCACGTGTTTCCCTGCTGCACCGCCTTCCGCTTCCTGTCTATCGCGTGTGTGGTTGCCACTACTGTTTGCTCCTTCAAGCGGTGTGGTCATGTTCACTGGCTGCCACAGGCAACTGCTGCACACATTCCTTTTCATAAACAACACAGTCACTGTCTCGTTTCATCACGCGGTCTTGGTCATATCAGTTGTTTACTCATTCAAAAGTCGACACAACAAACATGCACTCTGAATGACAACATCTCTTGGAGTGTACACAAATCGCCACAGTTTGCTATCGTTCGTGTTCACTACCAGGCCCATCACATCTGCAAGCACCATCACGCGAAATACACCCACTGCATCACACATCCGTGCACCAGCTAGCTCTGATCACCACCATCTATTCTGTTTTCTCCTGCGTCATGCCTTTCTCCCCCTTCACCACCGCCCTCAACATCACCACCCTCCTCATCGTCATCATCGTCATCAATGCCAAGTGCAAACGCCTCAGCATCATCGTCATCATCATCATCATCATCATCATCATCGTCATCATCACCATCGTGCAATGGAAGGTGCTCTTCCTCGTCCACCTCGTCCAGTGCCCGATATGCAACCGATCTCGACCCACCACGGCCACGGCCACCACCTCTCCGTCTCACAACCCGTCTTCCCCTCCTCCTTCCACCACCACCACCACCACCACCACGACTGCTACTGGCGCCTGCTCGCGTGCTCGCTGTTCTGCCTGTCACTGGTCCGGACCACAGGGCGGTCGACGCAATGCTCGCTGCGTCTGAGATGTCGCTCTCAAGTGCATCCTCCACGCTGTCGTGAAGGTTGCTGGTGCTCCCCATGTGACTGCCTCGCCCGCCGTCCGTCATCGTGCCCGGTGCAGACACGCCACCACCACCGCCACCGCTGCCACCAATACGGATGTGACCGGACGGTCCACCGCTAGTGGCAGTGGTGGTGTCATCATCATTGCGCATGAACGAGACAACTTGGCGCGGGTGCACGCGACCGCGCTCAAACCGGCGCAGCCCAGACGCCTGGATTGCGTGGCGGATCTGGTGGGGGGGGGGCAATGTGTATGGATGAGGCGAGCGAGCGAGCGCGTGCGCGTGTGTGTGTGCGTGCGTGTGTTTGTGTGTTTGTGGTTTGTGTGTGTGTGTGCTGTTGTGGACAGAGGCAACTTTGTTCACAGACGAACAGACAGCAAGGCCAGATTGACTCATGCGTGCAGGCGCAGACACACACACACACACACACACACACACACACACACACACACACACACACACACACACACACACACACACACACACACACACACACACACACACACACACACACACCTTCGATTGGAGAGGGTGCGCCGGCGCAAGTTCTCGTGCAAGTGAGACATGTCTCCCGAGCCAGCTGGGCGACGTGTTGGCGATGGGCTGCTTTCCTCGCTCGAGGTGATGGCGTCATTGATGGAGGGCAGATGCGGCGGGAGATGGCCCAGCGCTTCCCTCACAGCAGCTGTTGCTTCGCGCGAGGAGGAGGACGAAGAAGCCGATCTACCAGTGACACTGTTGCGGTGCAAAGCTGTCCTGGCCTGTGTTGTGTCGTACACAGACTCAAGCGGCCTTGCATCCCCAACAAGGTCCATGCCTCAGCTACAACCACAACCCCAACGCAACAGCAAAACAATCAACAAAAAGACGGATTTGGCGGATGTGATTGTGGAGGATTTGCGTATGTTTTTGAACAATTTTCAGCAGGGATGGCCGGGCCGTTGCGGGAGCTGGTGGATGCGGTGCGTGGGCTGCGGTGCGCCTATGAGGATGCACTGACACAGGTGGAGCGCAAGACAGCGGCCCTCCGCTTCGTGGCCCAGCAGCTCCGGCACCTGTGAGTGTTGTTTGCAATGGTCTTACATTTGTCATCGTGCTGCCCTTTTCCTTTTTGCTTGCGGTTTCCTTGATGTCTTGGCACTGTTCTTGGCACTGTTCTTGCCACACTGTTATACACAGCTCATGGTCGCACTCATGATGTGCCATGCATTGATTCTCGTGCGTCGATGCAGCCAAGAGAGCAGCCGCAATGCGGTGGTGCGCGATGTGCGGCAAGAGGTGGACACCCACAAGCAGGTAGGGCTGTGTCTGCGGTTCTCTTCTTTGTTGCTCGTGGGACTTCCACATGCGTGCTGCTTTCCTTTCATTCACCACCACCACCGGCACTTCGTTGCCACAGGACACGGATGCTGCAATGGAGGCTGAGGTGCGATCCCTAAAGCTGGTGGAAGACGCCCTCAGCCGTGCAGAGGTCGTCAGGTAGGCACATGTGCATGTGTGGGTGCGAAGCATTTGTGTGCGCCCGTGTGTGCGTGTGTGCAGCATGTGTGTGTCTGTGTGTGTCTATGTTGATGTACACGCTTGCCCTGGGTACGCCCGCGATTTGCTTGCAATTATCTTTCCCACCATACTTGACAGTGTGACGTGGATGCTCCTGCTTGTGCCTGTGTACACAGGGTTCGGCAGCAGGCTAAAGAGCGCAAAGCAGAGCGAGAGAAGCAGCGTCGAGCCATCTATTCAACCACACCTGCGCCACGCACCAAACGGTATGTGAGATTGACAGGTTGGCAGCTTGGTGAGGACGAAAGCAAGGTTTCATACAAACAAGCACACATACACAACTTGGCGCTCATTTCATGCACCTTGTTGCGCTCTGCCTGACTTTAGACCATCGCGTGATACAGCACCAGCAGCACCACCACCATCATCATCAGCACCATCATTGACATCGGTGTCATCGTCACGCCATCGTGTCCGCGGTGCGAGCCAGCCGTCATCTCGCGTCGCCAGCGGCCGCCACCGCGCACCGCCGTCCTCATCACCATCGTCATCACGAACAGCAGCTGCAACTGCCACGCGGCCTGCACGTGGTCGTGGTGGTCGTGGTGGTCGTGGTGGTCGTGGTGGTCGTGGTGGTCGTGGTCGCAGCCACACCAGTAGCAGCAATAATAGCAGCCACAGCAGCAGCAGCAATAGAGTGGGAAGAGCACGTGGCAGCGCAACAGCGCGGCGTCTCGGGCGCGTTGTGTCTGGTCGGGGACGTACCGGGACAGCAAAGCATGTTGGACTGAATCAGGGCAGCGACGACGATGACGCCGACGGTGGTGGTGGCGTGGAGGTCGGTGGTGAAGAGAAGAAGGAAGAGGGAGGAGCATATGCAAGCCTTGCTGGGCACGATGGGGCAAAGGAAAGGGGACCACACCACCAAGCTGGCATGCAGCACCAAACCGGCATGCCAACACACAGCACACAGCACCCGTCTCAACGGCCAGTCGCACAGGCAGCATTGAGCCAACCTGCTGCGGAGAGTGAGGTGGATGCGGGTGTGTTGGCGGCTGAGCGGTTGCAGCGGCAAATGGACCTGCGTGATAAGCTGGAGAGACACGTTAAACGTGCATCGAATGCAGCCCTGGCCAACATCCGTGCCATTCACCGACTCCTCGCTTCCAACAGCAGCAGCGGCGGTGACGACGACGACGACGACCACGACGACGATGACAACGACGACGACAATGATGACGATGATGATGATGATGATGATGATGATGACCACGCCCACGCTGGTGATAATGATGATGATGGCGGTGTGAAGGGACGCATGGGTGCTGCACACGTGTGGCGGTCGTTGTTCCTGAAGAGAATGGCGCAATCTGCTGTCCTCACGCCCCTACGCGAGAACGATGATGATGGTGATGGCAAAGGCAGCTGTGAGCGGTGGCGTGGTGCTCTTCTGTGCGAGGATTCGATTCCAGCCGTTCTTGATCTCTACATGGACGCCGTCAGCACCACAGACGCGCGCACAGGTTGGTTTTGCGCGGGAGGACGAGGCAGTGAGGGTTGATTGCTGCTGGTGTGCATCGTGAATGCCTATGTGGACCCACGTACTAGCGTACGAGATCGTTTGTGTGCCCCATCGTGCAGCCGTGATGTGTTGTGTGTTCATGCACACACACACACACACACACACACACACACACACACACACACAACGAATGTGCAGATGTGGGCCTCGCCGGCGTGCGGGTGCTGCTTGTACGATCGCTGCGCGCCCTCGGCCACGACATCGACGACATATCCGCACTTCTGCATGGCGGAGACGCGCACATGTGTCAGGACGACGTTGACGATGACAGGACCATCTGCATCTCCGATTGCAATCAAGATCCCGGTGGACAGGTGCGGCTCTTGCATACGTCTCTGAATGCATGAGTGCATTGATGTGTGCGTGTGCATTTTTGTTTGTGTGTATCATTGTAGTGGCTGCAGGTGACACGAGCCAGTGTTCATCGTGTTCTCACCTCGCCATCTCTGACTCGCAACAATCGCACCGCACGCCACCCAGGTACCATCACCACCACCGCCATCATCGTCGTCATCAGTGGTCTCCGTCAGCCCGCTGTGCATCCATCGCCCAAGCTGGCTGCCGTCGACGTCGCGCATCCACGCGCACATTGCACGACTGAAGAGGGGTGGCCCTGCGCACCAGCAACACAGTGGTGGAGGTGGTGGTGGTGGTGGAGGTGGTGGTGGTGGTGGTGGCAACGATGACGATGACGACGATGGCACAGATGAAGATGCTCCCCAGCCACTGTGAGTGTGAACATAGGCCCATCGGTGTGTGTGAGTGAGTGAGTTTTGGGTGTATGCAAATTGTCATGCGTGTAATGGTTGCCATGCGTGCGATGGTTGCGTGCTCATCACGTGTGTTTTCAAGTTGGTGCTGACAACTGCCTCTGACATTACCCCTTGCCTGATTTTACTCCACGTTTCACTCCTCCAGGCCTTCTCACGATGTCAACAACTGCTGTTGGTGGATTGACGGCATCCATTCGCCACAAGCACAAAAGTCAGTTCGAACGCGGCATCCAATTTTACAAAAACATCACTGCTGGAATGCATGCGTACACACACACACACACACACACACACACACACACACACACACACACACACACACACACACACACACACCAAGCTCAAGGCATGTTATCGACCCATAAACACATATGCTTCAGGTTGTATTCGCGTCACTTTTCGTCGTCTCCACTCGGCACCGGCCCACCGTTTGAGGACTCAAACCGCATCCACTCTCTCCTCCGCACACACGTGCAGTCGCTGCATCGACAGCAGGTGTGTGTGTGTGTTCGTGTGTGTTTGTGTGTTTGTGTGTGTGTGTGTGTTTATACGTGTGTATAGGTCCGCCAGTACTGCCTATTTTTTCGAGCACACGTGTTCATTCACACACACACATACACACACATACACACACACACACATACACACACACACACACAAATCACATCGCATTTGACACGCAGTGGGAGGTGTTCCAAGCTGCTGTGACGTCAGGGCTGGAAACATCTGCCTCGACACGTGTTGATGAGCTGTTGGACATCCTGTCCACGCTCCAAGCATCACCAACCTCCGACCCGAACATTGTCATGCTCCTTGAATCGGTGCGCACTGTCATCACGAATGGGTGCATGTCACAATTTGTTTTGACCCACTGTCATCGCATTCCACCCCACCACCCCCACAACTCTTGAAGGCCACTTGGAGCACCACTCTGCTCACGATGATTCCTCTTCCAACTTCCACTGCGATGTGACAGCTGTGCGCGGAAGCATGCAAGACAACAGCGTTCTTGCAGTCAAAAGGACAGACAGTCCAGTCGTTTTGGAAACGCGTACAGCAAGACCACAACGACGGCAACGATGATGATGTTGATGATGATGATGGTGGGCATCAACATGTGTGAGGTGAGGTGATGTGATGTGCTTTGACACACATGTCAACATCGATGGCTTGCTCGGTAACAGTGACGTGGCGCACGGTCGATTTGATGACTTGTGCCTTGACTGTTCATTGTTCGGTCGTGTGTACATGTTAAAGAGGATATGCAGTGAACATCGAGTCCACGTCATCGATCCACACAGGGTGCAAGACACACCTTGCACACCCAAAGCACCCGCTACATGCACGCAGCACACGTGCATGTTTCAACTGAGACAGTAGCAATAAAAAAAGAGGGGAGCGATGAATGCATAAGAGACAGAACTCGGAGACGGAAAGAGAAACAGACGGACGGCGTGTTGCCAACAGCACACGCACACACATCACACAAACATAACCACTGACACAACCACGGAACACAAAGACATGGTGATGGGCACCCGACAGGTGTGGTTAAGCTCAGCTTGAGAACCAAAGGCAATGAGAGGAGAATATTTGGACGGCATGGAATCAGCACGACAAACCAAAACCAATAAGGCCGCACTACATGGAAAGATGGTGAATGAAGCGAAGAATCGACGGAACAGGAAGCAAAACACCCACACATGGGCACTCAGCCTCACAGGAAACACACGATCACGTGCATGCAAAGCATTCAAACACGAATCGCCAAAAGAAACGAGAGAAATCATGTCAAGGTGACGAGGGAAAGGGGAACCACGATGAAGTTGGCTCACGCCTCGAACACTTCAAACTGGTCCGTCCCCGGCGTCTTCCCTGCGACATCGGCGGTTGCACTCATGTCCTCGCCCTGCTTACCACCCTCATCGCCACCATCCCCCTCGTCCTTGGGTGGCTGTTCATGTGCACGCCACTTGCGCGTTGCTTCCTGCCCGCCCTCCACCGCGGCCTGCAGCCTCTCGTACGTGCGCCCCTTCTGCCGCATCGTTGGCGTGACGGCTGGGGGTTGCAGGTCTGGGTCTGGCTGGATGGACACGCGGAGTGGGCACTTGAGCTGCTGGCCGGGCCGCGTGCACGCATTCACCAGCGCATGCAGTGTCGGGTACACGTGCTGCTGGGCGCTGCCAAGCATGAAGCCTGCAGGCAACAGGAGAAAACAAAGAAGGAAGGAGGGGGGGGAGCAAAAGCGACAAAGGGTGAGAAGTGTCGTTGAGTGTCCAGCAATGTCAATAAGAGATGGCGGCGAGCAGCGCTGGCAATCAGAACAGGCACAAGGAACGCTTTCTCGCACCGCCGCCATCACCTCAACATATCGCATGTGCCCTCGTCAACACCACCGCCAGCGTTCGACGCAACAAACCTTGCGAGAACATGTTTGATGCGGGGGTGCGAATGATTTCCTCATCGATGATGCGATCGTGGAACTTGTACGAGAGGAGAAAGCGAAGTGCACCGCCGCTCGGATGACGACGAATCACAAACGCCCCATCTCGCCGCAGCCGCAGCTCCTGTTGCACCGAGGAAAGGAGAAGGGGATGCGCGCCGATGTGTAAACACGTGTTCACGCATACGTGTGAGCAAGTGTGTGAGTGAGTGAATGTAGGCAAAAGCAAAGGAAATAATGCACGCGCACACCACCATCATGAACACGTCAATGACGCCGCCAACACGTGGTGGTGCCGTCGTACCTGAAGCGCCTGCTCTGGATCTGCGTCGAGCTGCCACCAGTTCCAGGGCTTCTCCTTCGTTGGCGGCGCTGTCAACAGACGGAACGGGCGAAATGGACGGGTCAGATGCGGCAGGTCAAGTGCGAGGGCAGTGGTGATGGTGAATGAGAGCTGGTTAACTTGGCGGCACGCCAAGGACAACACATGTACACCCTTCAAACGACCAAGCAAACAAATGTCCGCACAACCAACCAAGCAAACAACAGCCCGGTGCACCACTCGGGACCGGTGCTTACCGCGCACGATGCGAGGGGAGCGCAGGCGAGACGTTGGCGGCTGTGTCGGCCACAGGAACTTGGCGCCGTGCGTCTCGTGCTGCAGCAGCGTGACCAGCATGTGTTCAAGGTTCTCGCCCTCAACACCATCAAAGACGGGGAGGCTGCACTTGCCATTGGGCGCAACCTCAACATCAACCGTCTCCAGCTTGTCGCCGTCGGCTGTCCCAAACGTCAAGTGCACACCGTCATCGCCATCGCACAGCCCGTACACGACAAAGGCGCCGGCCGCCTTGCCCTTGAGCTCCTTCAACGCCTCGCTTCTCGGCACGCCAACCTGTCGCATTGAGTTGTTCACGAGGGAGAAAGAGAGAGTGTGTGTGTATGTGTGAGTGAGTGAGTTTGGGTGTGTGTGTGTGTGTGTGCAAGTGAGTAGATGGAACAATGGCGTGTGCTTGGGTGAGCTGATGCATGATGAAACACCACAATGCTGCTGTCGTGGTGTTGCTTCGCATGCAAACGCACGAAAACGCACGTAACACGTGACACAAGCAAGGGCTGACCTGGCACCACGCCCATGCTGCGCCGGTGTGCTGGTCTGCAGCGGCGAGGGTGTGCGGACGAGCAAGGAGGCACATCTGGCGCACGTTGAGGGTGCAGTCCAGCGAGTGGCTCGCATCCTGATGGTGAATCACTGTTGTACGCAAACACGCATGGGTGTTAAAAGATGAAGAGAGGTAACCAGGAGGCACTAAAGGCACACACACACACAGCGACACACATACACACACATACACACTCACACTCACACTCACACAGCGACACACATACACACATACTCGCACTACACACATATACACACACTCCTCACCGAGGTCCTGCAGTGTTGGGAAGAGGGCCTTTGGAGCGGCGCTGAGGAAGAAGCCGCCAAAGATGCCGTTGCTCTTCGCCATAATGTCGCGCGTGACAATCGCCTGATCCTTCTTGTACGCTGCACACATGCGCAGGAGACATGCGGGGAAGAGAGGGGTGTGGTGCACAAAACAACGCCATGTGTGTGAGGGGGGGGGGAGGGAATAGTGGCAATGTGATCCATCAGGAAACTTGCTGCAATCCCTTCATTCATTCACGCACGACACATTCGCACAAACGCACAAACACATACACATTGCATGCACACAGACAGACACACACAGACACACACATACACATTGTACGCACCGAGCTGGAAAGCCACGCCCTCTTTCGGCGATGGCGTCACGATGAAGGCGCCTCTGCCGCGAGATCCGAGAATATCGCTCGGGTTCACGTTCGCTTGAAGCTGTAGCGGAAGGAGGAACGCAGCACAGACACGAGCGTGCCAACAGCGAAGGGGGTCAGCAAGAGCGCGCAAGCAGGGCCGGGTCATGGCATGCAGACTCACCATGCAAGCGTCAGCTTCATCACCCAACTCACACACACACACGCACATACATACACACACACGCACGCACACACACACAAACATACGCGCACACACATACACAAAACTCACGTGCAGCCAGGAGAGGGTGCGTGGTGCGCGGCGTGTGGATGCGCGCGACTGCGGCTTAACGGAGAGCGAGGTGTCGGGAGCGATGGACACGCGAAGGCGACACAGTAGGTCGCCAGAGCTATGGGTGTAGTGCTCCACAAGCCTGTGCAGGGATGAGAGCACCTTGTGTTGCGCCTTTGCCAGGTGGAACCCCGGGTTGAACAGGTCTGTCTTCGGGGTGTGGTAGATGCGCTCGCGGTGCACGCTGTTGCCGACCTTGTACGCCAGCACGAAGCTCGAGGGCTCCGTGGCGTGGCGGTAGATCACAAACGCGCCCGTCTGCTTGTTGCTGAGCAGCGCCTCTGCTTGGGCCTTTGGCGTGTCAATCTGCCACCAGCACCACGGCTCCTCGGCCCGCTTCCGCTCCGTGATGGTGTGCTTGATGTCATCGCTCACATCGCTGCCATGCAACTCGACAGGCAGTGGCCCGCGCTGCTGCCTCAGCGCACCGACGAGCTCCGTCATGGTGCGATGCACAACATCTGGCTGCGCCTCGAGGGCATAGCCGATGGTGCCATCCGTCTCCGACTCGGCCTCGTGAATCTCAAACGAGAGCACCGCGCCCTGGTACGCGACGTACAACACAGGCGTGTCACCCCCGTCCTCCTTCATGGCCACGAGAAAGTGGCCGTCTGCTTGCCCTGCTAGCTGCTGCTGCGCCTGCGCAGGGCTGCACCCGCCACCGACAAACCGCCTGTCCCACGTTGGGCGCTCCTGGCGCTTGACGCTGCGCTGCTGCCAGGAGATGGGGCGGCGGCGTGTGTCTGATCCGCGCGGGACGAGCGGGTACGGCAGCGGTGACGTCGCCAGCTGGGGCGGGTTGGAGTAGAAGGCAACTGGTGTGTTTGTGGAGTGTGGAGCAAGCGGGGAGGGGGAGTGGCGTGGTTAGGCGTGGCACAAGGCGGCGAGTGATTTGGATGGGAAAGTGGGGGACGCGTCGGATGAAACGTTTGAATGCAAATCAGCAGCAAGGAGACAAGCATTCGCACACATGTAACACACACAGGCACACACAGACACAGGCACACACAGACACAGGCACACACACACACACAACATGACGCAGCACACACACACACACACACACACACACACACACACACACACACACACACACACACACACAAAACAAGACGCAGCACATACACACACACAAAATACGCACCGAGGTCATCGAGGGAGGTGAATTCCTCCGCAGCGGATTCAAGAGCAAATCGTCCATCGCGCTCAACAATGGAAGATTGCGTCACGCGCCCGTTGGAGACGACCGTGAGACCATAGGCTGATCCGGGCTGTGACGCCATGTGAACCAGGAAGGACCCGTTTGGAAGCCTGCATGCAAGCAAAGCGAGTGCATGAGGAATCATATGCACACGCGCAGGTACGTGTGAGAAAACAGGAGTCCCCATGCAGCAAGCGCGGTCACAATACATACTGACGACACCATTGGATCTGAATCGCATTCCTCTCCCCTCCCCCCTTCCACCTCCGTTGTGCCAGTGGTTCACACGCGTCACCTTGCGCTGGTGAGGCGAAGGGTGGCGCGGCCAGCGGGCACGTCGGGTTGGAACCACGCGCGCTCAACCCCATCATCACCCGGCACACCGCTCTTCGTGGACGACATGCTGCCGCCCCGCCGCTGATGCTCGCGTGCAGCTGTGGAGGCGGTGGTGGTGGTAGAGGTGGCGGTGGCATCGCTTGCGTCTGCCTGTGCCCCCTCCTCGCCCTCTTCCTCTTCATCAAACGCGGGCAGAGCACCGCGGCGCAGCCTGGCAACGTGTGTCAGCAGCTGCGAGCGGTGGGAGGCGTCGTGGATGTTCATGCGGTCCAGGTCATCTGCAAGTTGTTGTTGTTGTTGTTGTTGTTGTTGTTGTTGTTGTTGTTGTTGTTGTTGTTGTTGTTGTTGTTGTTGTTGTTGTTGTTGTTGTTGTTGTTGTTGTTGTTGTTGTTGTTGTTGTTGTTGTTGTTGTTGTTGTTGTTGTTGTTGTTGTTGGGGAGGCGATTGGAGGTGGTAGGAGGTGGTGGTGAGTTGCGTTGGTTGAGATGGGGCAGTGAGCGGGCAAGAAGAACATCATGAAGGTACGTCACGCCAACACACACACACACACAGACACACACACACACACACACACACGCACGCACGCACGCACGCACGCACGCACGCACGCACGCACACACACGCACACAACACTACATGTATGCACCTGGGGTGAGGCGGAGGAGGGCTGGTCCGGAGATGGAGTGGGACTGGAAGAGTGCCCTGTACTTTCCGAGACGAATGCGCGTCAGCCACTTGCTCACGTCCGTCAGCGTCCAATCCGCAGCCTGGCACAGGTCATCACACGCACAAGTGTTTGAGCAAATGGTGAAGAAGTGTGACGGTTGCAATGGGGGAGTGGCACATGGCCAAAGAGAGCGTGCGTGTGTGAAGTGAATTGAGCGTGCTTGTTTATGGTCGAGTGCTTGCAAACAACAACAAAAACAAGCCATCAGCGAGCACACAGGCAACATGCACGCACCTTTGAGTTGTCCGTGTCCTTGACGGGCGTGGTGAGATCGGTGCCAGCGGAGACGGTGTGGCTCAGGCGGCGGTTCTTGCGCAGCGACCTGAGGTCAGGCGAGACGACGAAGAGGAGGGGTACGGGGAGAAGGGTTGATGGGAGCAGCAGAAGCGTGAATGTGTGTGCGTGTGTGTGCGTGAGTGTTTGAGTGTTTGAGTGTGTGTGTGTGCGTGTGTGTGTATGGAGTGAGAGAAGTGTGAACAAGGGAATTCGAACTAAGACACACACACTCAGACACACACACATACACACACGCAAGCTGTCATTGCATGTGTCAACAAGCACATTGCACACCGCGAGGCAAGCACGTACGCCTTGGCCTTGAAGAATGCTGGCTGCTGCTCCTGGGAGGTGACGCCGAGGTGGTTGAGGTCCTCACGCGTCATGCGGGTAAACAGGTGCCCGCCAATGTGCAAATCCCGGCACAGCTGCGAAAACTCGCCTGGGTCGCAAGCAACAGCGACAGCGGTGGTGAAGTGGTGGGTGGGGGAGATGGGAGTGATGAGTCAGGGGCAAAGTCAAACTGCAGTCGCGCATACGGAAACGTTCGAGATGCGCTCACAACAAACAACATAAAGCCAAGACAACACTGCCCCTTCTTCGCTGTCTATCTCCCTTGCAGACATTGCAGACAACATCAACGCCAGTCATGACGAACCGAGGTTGTGGTCGGCGAGCCACTCCGCAACGGTGATGCTGGACCATTCCTGCGGCAGCTCCGGCCGCGGCGACACGCCCATGAGCACGCGCCGCAGGTGGTCTGGGTGGTGGCGTTGATATGGAGAACAAGGGGGTGGTAGATGGTGAGGAGGCGCAAGACAACACAACAACAACACAAGCAAAGCACAAGCCACGCAAGGCAACGAAACTAAACAACGCATTCTGGCGTCTGTGTGTGCCGCTGCGTGGCTCACCGATGTTGGTCAGGAGCTTGTCGTGTGCGGATGCCGGGATGCCCATCTTGACGAGATCAACGGCCTTGAGGTGGAGGAGAACATCGCCGTCAACCCCCTGGTGCCGCATTGTCAGCAGCAGGTTGTCGTGCTCGTGTCGCTTCAGCCACGACTCCACCTGTCGCGCAGCACGTGTACGTGTACATGTGTGTTGGCAGCGTGCGTGAATGGCTGGTGAGTGTGGAGCATACAAGGGGGTGTTCAACACACGCACACACACACACTTCATGTGCGCAGACAGAGAGACAGACAGACAGACAGACAGACAGACAGACAGACAGACAGACAGACAGACAGACAGACAGACAGACAGACGCACACACACGCACGTACACACGAGCACATGAGCACTATTTTTTTTGGCACACGCTCGCCAACAACTCCCACACATGCGGCCCACCTGCTGCTGGTCCCAGTGTGTGGCGGCAAAGATGAGCGGGTAGCTGTTCTTGACGAGCTCGGCCTCGACGCCGTCCAGCACTGCCCGCCGCTCGCCAGCCTCTGTCACGCCATGGCGTCTGCACCGAAAGAGGTGAAAACGGCAGTGACATCAGCACATGCATTGTAAAGTGAGGGCACCCAAACGCACACATACACAACCGCACATGGCAACCAACGTCACTGCATACAACCACAAACAACAAGCACATGCACTCACACCCTTCCACCCCCCCCCACACACACACACAGCACAGACACCACTGCACACGCACATGAGGTCGGCCTCTGTTGCAAAGACGAGAGCAGCGCCGTCAACGCCGTTGTCTGCGAAAGCGGAAGCGTGGCGGCCCATGCCGATGCTGCTGAGCCACATCTGCACCTCCTCCGGCGACCACGTCCACATGCCGCGCGGAACCGTCGTGGGGGACGCAGCTGCCTGACGCGCAGAGGCAATGTCGACAAGATCCAGCACGCGGCCGCTCATGTCCGGGCCCACACCAAGCGACTCCAGCCTGTTGGTGAGAGAGAGAGAGGGAGGGAGGGAGGGGGACGAGATGGGGGTTGGGGGTTGGTCAAGAATCACATTGATGGGCCGCGTTTGAAGCGACGCGCCATGGAAGGAAACACACACGCACACACACACACACACACGCACACGCATACACACACACACACACACACACACACACACACGATCACACACACACGCACGCACGAATGCAGAGCACGTGTGCTCACCGCTGCTGGGTAATGGCTGCGAGCTGTTCACCGTCGACATCGGCGTCGTGAAAGCGGCGGCAGTGTTCGCCCAGGCCGTTGTACGCCAGCCAGTCACACACGGCACGCGTGCTCCACTCCTGCAACCCGCTGCCAGAGTCCCAGAACGCTGGGCCGCGCTTGTTTGGCTGCAGCAGCGGCGTGGCGTGTGTCGAGAGGGCTTGCTTCTCACGAAGACGCCCCACAATGTGCAGCAGGGCAGTCTGCACATCCGTGTTGCGCACGCCCATATTGTACAGCGACGCCTGCGTCAGCTCAAGCAGCTGCGATCCAGTCATCTGTGCATGTGTGTGTGTGTGTGTGTGTGTGTGTGGCGGGAGAGGGGGGAGATGGAGGTGAATCAGTGAGGAGTGGGACCTGTGAATGATCAAATCGACACAAGAACTCGGAGCGCGGAAGTGCAAAACGGCACACACACACACACACACACACAAAGCGCACACACACACACAGAAACACACACACAGAAACCACACACACAGAAAATGGCGACCACCTTCTTCTTCTGCAGGGCCGGAATTGGGCTGTAGAGGTTGTGGTGGGCCAGGCAGTCAATGACCTCCGGTGGGGACCACTGCGCAGCTTCCGTCTCCTCCGGCTCCGTGCGGTGCTGAACAGCAGCCAGCGCAGACATGAGCGGGTGGCGAAGATTCGGTGGGACATTAAGGCTCTCCAGTTGGCCCTGGCGCAGGAGACACAGCGACACGCCGTCAATCTTCTTCTTCGCAAACGGCCGCTTCAGCTGCAGCGATGTGGGGGGTGGGGTGGGAAAAGGGGAGTTAAAGTTGCGGAGTGAGTGGGGTGGCTGAGATGAGGAAGCATGGCAAGCCCGCTTCACGTCACACACACACACACACACACACACACGTCACACGCACACACACGCACGTCACACGCACACACACGCACGTCACACGCATCACACACACACGTCACACACACACGTCACACACGTCACACACACACACACACACATCGCACACCGGACCTGTCCGAGGGCGTTGTGGTCGAGCCAGTCGCCGACGTCGGCAACAGACCAGCGGGCAGCGAGCGGGCAGGGAAACGCCTCCTGCAGCGCCGCCACCTGCTGTGCAGCCCTCTCTGCCTCCGCCGTGTCGGCCACCTCCCACATGGACACAATGTCCTGTGGGTTGGTGCGCAGCAGCGATGCGCCCGCAATCTTGTTCTTCTTGCATTTCTTTGCCACTTCAGGGCAGTTTTCGCTCTGGAAGAACGCAGACACCTGAACACAGCAAAGGGGGGGGGGGCGAGTGTGAGAGAGAGTGAGTGTGTGAAAATGTGCGTGTGCGTGGCGAGGGATTATGTGTATGTGTGTGTGTGTGTGACTGCGTGTGAATGTGAAATGCAAGGAAATGTGTGTGCTTGAAGCCGGTATTCGCAAGGGGCCGGCCATGTCGACAACAGCCTAGCTGAGCGGCAATATGGAAAGTGGTGCGCTTGCTTACCTTGGAGACGGACCAGGAGAGCGGGTTGGCATGCGACATTGGCGAGAGCGTCACGTCAAGCTGTGCAGTCGTGATCCCATACGCGGAAATGGAAGTGTTGGGTCGTGAGTTGGGAGATAACTGCGTGCTTGCAAATGAAGCAACGCACAAAGCAGCACAACACCAACACATCCACAAGCAAACACAAGCATGAACACAAAGCACACGCACAAAGCATGAGCAGCAAGCTGCACTCACAGAGAGGCCCTTGTCTGGGGTGGCGAGGTGGTTTGGACGCACGCGCGGGCGCTGCGAGCGGTCAAACGAAGACTGCTGAGTCAGCAAGCTATCGGTGCGGCGCACAAGCGACTCCATGTCCGGGGTAGCGGGCTCCCCTGCCTCGCCCACGTTGAGGTTCCCTGTGCGGCGAAGCGTGCTGCGGCGACGAACAAACTCCGGTGTCTCATCCACGGCCGCGTACGTGTGTGCAGCAGCAGAAGAAGCAAAGGCGGCGTCGCCTACAGTGCTCGAACGGTTGGACAGGAGCGTGCCTGCGCGGGCGTGTGCAGGCGTGCGCGTGGGGTTGAACTGGTGCGTGACCGAGCGCAGCCCGACTGCCGGTCGCGGGGCACTACCGCTCGTGTCGTTGGCCAGGGTGTACTCGGCCACGTCGACAGCCTCCTCACCATCTTCCGTCAGCTGGTGACGGAGAGAGCCCGCACCTGCACCAACACCGGCACCATCAGCGCCATCAGCATAACCGTTCATGGTGTCGCTGGCGGCGCCAAATTCGGCTGCTTCGTCCAGCACCATTTCGTCGGCACCGTACGCCGTGCCCTGCAGCGCCGCTGCTGTCCGGTAGAAAGAGGACACCAGGTCCGCTTGTCCGCGCTCGCCCACGCCGTCCATGTCGCCACCGCCCATACCGTCGTCGCCTGCGCTGGTGGCGGCGGAGCGCTGGTGGAAGCGGAAATCGCCTTCGCTTGCGTCATCATCGTCGTGGCGGTCGAGGAACACACCCGAGCCGCTGCCCGTCGCTGTGAACACACGCGCACGCGACTGCGATGCACTGGGCACGGGCGTCGCCTTGTGTGTTGTTGCAGTCCTGGTGGTGGCGGCAGTCATGTCGCTGTAGCGGCTACCTCTGCTGCTGCTGCGCTGGAGGTGGCGAACGCGGCGAGGAAGACGTGACGGGCGCAGCACCTGCAGCGCGGCAGGGTACATCGTCCAACGAGAGGGGGGAGGCGGGAGGCGAGGAATGGGATGAGAGGTGTGACAGAGAGCGAGAAGGAAAGCAGGGCGCAAGCGCACTGACGACACAAAGCACAAGCCCAAACACGCACGCACCCACACATGCGCATAAAGCAACAGCAACAGCAACAGCAACAACAGCAGCAATAGCAACAACAACAACAACAGCAGCAATAACAACAACAACAACAACAGCAACAACAACAGCACAAGCTCATCCGAATGGCTGACCTGGAGCGTGAGCTGGTCGCGTGCGCGGGAGATGAGACGCTTGACATCGGAGACATCGCCGTCCTCAAGACTGCGCCCGTTGGCAGCCATCAGCACATCCCCAACCTGAACACGCACGAACACACGTGGATGGAGGTGGAGTGATGGATGTGGTAAACGGCCAGGTGTGAGACATGTGGTGGGAGCACGGGCGTGAATTGGAGGCGACCAAACATGACTTGGCGAGCACAAGAACCTCGCACAACTCCACCCGCACGCCGAAACGACCAAAAGAGAGGACAACACGCGAAACAGGTGCCTTGCTCGCCATCGCTGTACTGTTTTCTTGCTGTCACCTTAAGGCGGCCGTCAGCTGGTGAGTGCTGCGTGATGTTGATGATGGTGGGCTGGTCTCTGCCGTCGTGGCCAGGGCCGCCACCAATGCGGAAGCCAAAGCCGGGCTCGTCGGGGTCTGAGGAGGAGCAGCAACAGCATCAGGGCGAGTGGTGAAGTGAGGGAGGGGGGGGGTGAATGCAAATGCAGATGGAGCAAGTGTGGACAATGTGACGTGATATGAGGCAAGTCGAAAATGACAGAACACACACACACACGCACACACACACACACCTACACACACACCCACACGCACCCACGCACCCACGCACCCACACACACGCGCGCTAAACGAACCCTTGACAAGGACGACGGTTTCGGGCTCCCAGAAGATGTCATCGTCGTCGTCGCTGTCGTCGTATGCGTGTGCGCCAAACGCGCGGCCATCACCATCACCATCACCATCACCACTGCGCGACAGTTGCAGCCGCGAGGCGACGACGTCCGCCACATACTGTGCGAGCGAGTCTTGTTCCTCGGCCGTCATGCGGCCTGGGCGGTCGGCGAGCACGCGCAACTCGGCGCGGAGCTGCTCAATCTTCTCCGCGAGGCGAAGAAGGTCGTTTTCCTTGCGCACACCCATCCGCCGCATGTCATCGCGGCTCATCTGCAGCAGCCTGCGACGTGGAGCCGGTGGTGTTGCGGGGCGTGGTGGGGTGTGGGAGGTGTGTTATCATTGTGGTGGGTTGGATTGTGTTGTGTTGTTGCTGGGTGATATGAACAGAACAGGACAGTGTGTCGAATCATTTCCACACACACACACACACACACACACACACACACACACACACACACACACGCACACGCGTGGGTGGTATGTGTTTGTTTGGGTACACGCCTTGTCAGTATGCACTCACGTCTGGCCATCAATGTCGTTTGCAGTGAAGCTTGAAGCGACGCTCTGCAGGTTGTTCTGCTTCAGCCAGCGCTCGACATCAGCTGCGCTCCACTCCGGCACGGGCCGATCAGAGACCATGCCTGATGGGAGGTGGTGGGGACAGCGGATGAAGAAAGGTTGAGGGAAGCAAGACGGGGGAGAGTGGGGAGGTGAGAAAGACAGAGAGGGCGAAGGTCCAAAACAGACGAATAAGCGGCAAGGAAAGCAGCAATGAAGCCAAGGTGGAAATACGGTACCCCCAAACACAAGACTCGAGCACACACAAGACTCGAGCACGCACACACACACACACACACACACACACACACACACACACACACACACACGCACGCGCATGTGCCGTACCTGCATCCGCCTGGTCGTAGAAGGGGAAGGCGCCGCCACTGCTGCTCTTCTGCAGCTGCAACTGCACAAGTGCAAGCAGGCGGTCGCGCTTAGCGGGCTCCGTGACACCGAGGGCGGCCAGGGCGTCGTGGTTCATCGCCGCCAGCGCAGCGCCCATGACGTGCTGCTCGCGGAAGGCGGGGACATACGCACCAAAGCCCTTCTCCTCCAGGAACGCGGCAACGTGGCTGCTGCTCCACTTGCGAATCTGGTTGGCGGGGCGGAACAAGGGGGAAAGGTGTGGGGTAAGGGGCGCGGTGTGTGTGTGTGTGTGTGTGTGTGCGTGTGTGTGTGTGTGTGTGTGTGTGTGTGTGTGTGTGCATGTGCGTGCATGCTTCTTTGTGCTTGTGTTCCACGTACGTTTGCGGGGCGAGATGCAGAATACACGCGCATTTGGTCGCGCATGGCCAGCTCTGCAGTCATCACGCGGTGATGATGATGGTGGTGGTGGTGGTGGTGGTGAGCAGGAGAGAAAGGCAATGGTTGCAGCACAGCAGGACGACCTCACGACTGACACCAACCAACCAACCAGCCAACCAACCAACCAACCAACAAACCAACAACAGCCACCACTCAGCGAAACAATGAAAAATGAAATAATGACAGACCTGCAATGCTGTCGAGAATGGCTGCACGGTCGTTCGCGTGTTCAATGCCGAGATCGCGCAGAGACGAGTCTGTCATCGCCAGCAGCGCAGGGCCGTCTGCATGGCGGTGGCGGTGGTGGTGGTGGTGGTTTATGCGGTGGATGGTGACGGGATGAGAGGAACGAACATGCACAACATACAACGGTACTGCCGCATCACGCACACACGCACACACATCCACACACATACACACACACACACATCATGCACACATACACATACACACGTCATGCACATACGCACACATACACACATGCACACCCGCAAACGCACCGATATCCATGCGCAGAAAGATGGAAGCGAGGTGGTTGTCGTAGCCGGCATCGTACAGGAGCCACATGCGGACAGCAAACTTGTCCCACGTGACCACGGGTGCGGCGGGGGCGCGCTTGGACCCGCGGGCCGGCGCCACCGACGACCGTGACGACGTGCGCGACAGCTCCTGGCGGATGGCAGATGGCGATTGGCGATGAGGGGGAGGGATTGGTGGAGGTGGAGGTGTTGAAGAGGGGGGGGGGGTGAGAGTGAGAAGAAGAAAGGGTTTTGAGGGCCGTGGTCTTCGTGTGACACAGGATAGAACAAGGCACAGGCAAGAGGCTGCGCAACAAACATACATTTCACAGGCTCAGCTCACCCCTGGGACGCTGAATTGGCTGGCGAGGAGGTCTGGCTGAACGATGAGCGCCTGCATGTGGTTGTATATCTCCTCGCTCTGGTCCCGCTGGTGGGCGGGGATGATGATGGGGTTGGATCGGAGTTGGGGGGGGTTAAAAAGTGCGAGGCGTGAATACATGCGTGCAGTGGACAGAAGGAGACAACACACAGGGAGACGCAATGCACACACACACACGCACACACAACACACAACACACAACACACAACACACAACACAACACACAACACAACACACAACACAATACACGACACACAACAACGAGGACCAGCGTACGCTGATGCCGAGGGCCTGGATATCGTGCGGGGTCATGGTGCTGAACGCTTGGCCGTCAATCCCGCGCCGCTTAAACGCCCGCGACGCCTCTTTGCAGTCAATCGAGTGCAGCCACTCTTGCACATCCCCTGCAGGTGGTGGTGGCGGTGTGTGTGTGTGGGGGGGGCGTGTGTGTGACAGTGTGAGAAAGTGCAAAAGTGAGAGAGTGCGTGCGTGTGTAGCATGAACAGAGATGTGTAAGGGTGTCGTGTGAGCGCGTGGTGTGGCGGCAGTAACAAGGAATATGCGACTTACGTGCGGTCCACTCGGCGATGGGCTCGTCAAACACCCAGTTCTGATTGCACATGCACACGCACGCACACACGCACAACCATTCGTGTGAGAACGAGCAAGGTGCCCACAGTCAACACGCGCAACGAACCATACAGCACGCAAAACAACAGCAGCAACAGCAGCAACGGCACACAAAGTACAGCGCAAGTGCGGGGCGACTGACAGTGATGTTGTCATCAATCCAGTGTTGGTGGGTGAGGGAGGGCACGGCGCGCGTTGGGCGGGAGCGCAGAGCATCGAGGGCACGTCGCTCATCGTCGTCCTCAATCAGATCAAGCGATGTCATGTGCGCAAACTGCACAGCGCCGCAGGGAGGGTGGTGGTGGTGGTGGTGTGGTGAGATAGTGGGTGGTGGTGAGATGGTGAGATAGTGGGTGGTGGTGAGTTGATGCCGACGACAAGAAGATGCGAAAACCACACACGCACACACACACACACAACACACACACATGTGCGCTGTGCATCGTACCGAGGTGGACGTGGCTGCCTTCTTCAGGTGAGGTGGTGTGGGCCACTTGCCCTGATGAAGACGCGACAAAACAGATGAGGCGAAGGTGGTGAGATCCAAGAACAAGCAGAAATCACGCACACGCACACGCACACGCACACGCACACGCACACGCACACGCACACGCACACACACACGCACACACACACGCACACACGCACACACACACACACACACACACACGCACACACGCACACGCACACCCGCACACACGCACATGCACACGCACACGTGGACACGGGAAGCAGACCTTGCTTGAAGCGAGTTCGGGCTCTGTGGCGCGGCGGACGGGCGCAATCACATCAAAGACTGCACAGGAGGAGGTGGAGGGTGTAGCGTGAAGGGATGAAGGGTGAGGATGGTGGCCACGCTAAACACGCGATTGCAAGAGCAAAGGGAGGGAACCACCACACAACAAACACAGCCTTAAGTCGCACGCAGTCACAAAATAACACAAAGCGCTCACACACCATACAACACCACACCACACCATACAATATACCACACGACCACCGTCAACAACTCACCGTAGAGGACTTTGCCGTCGTCGCTGCGGATTGCAGTGCCGGCGTGAGGGGCAGATGGCGTCCTTCGCCCGCTCACATCACCACCACCACCACCACGACCACGGCCATGCCCGGCCTTCAAGTGTTGCTGTTGCTGTTGCTGTTGAGGGTGTGGCAGGCGCTTGCTCTGCTCGTGTGAGAGAAACGCCTGCAGATCGTCGCTCTCGCCGTATTCCTGCAGCAGTGACGCTTGCTGCTGTTGCTGCTGCTGTTGCTGTGAGGTTGGTGTTGGCAGTTTGCCGGGCATTGCGGCATGACCAAAGTCATCGTCGTCCACGTCTGACGTCGCAAGCGCAGCGTCCTTCCGCTGAGGTGATGGTATGCGTGGTGTGTGTGTGTGTGTGTGTGTGTGTGTGTGCGTGTGTGTGTGTGTTATCGTGGTGAGATGTAAATGTGTGTATGCGTGTGTGATTGGTGTTATCGTGGTGAGATGTGAATGTGTGTTTGTGTTTATGTGTGTGCGTGCGTGCGTGCGTGTGTGAGCACGCCCACCCGCGTACAGTACTCAAACACACGACAATGCATGGCCTCTTGACGTTCAACTCACCGCGCTGGAGATGGCGGCTGGTTTCAGGACGCACGGCAGCGTGGACACGCTGTGGTTCGCTTCATCGCTGTCGAAAGCACGTGAGCAGGTCAGTCAAGTGAGTTGCAGTTGGGCAATATGGACATGGCATTACAAACGACCGCACACCACACACACACACACACACACACACACACACACACACACACACACACACACACACACACACACACACACACACACATGAACATGTCAAGACGGCATCGCATCGAGGGGACAGACCTGTAGAAGGCGATGAGCTCTGACATGAAGGGAAAGGCAACCTTGGATCGTTTGAGGCGCAGCCCGCGTGAACCTGTCCAACACACACGGCAGCGATGATGGTGAGGATGACGAGAGTAAAGGAGGATGCGTGTGCTGTTGAGTATGGAGCAAGCATGGCAGTTGCGAGGATTGATTGGCCACATCAGTCACGAAAAGAACACCCGCATTGCTTACCGAGCTTGATGACTTCGTTGCGAATCTGCCCGTTGTTGTCACTGTCACGATGGTGTGTGTCCAAGGTAAGGGTGTTGGTGTGTGTGAGGGAGGAGATGCTTGTCAGGAGAGGAGGGGTGCTAACCGCAACAACAGCGTGTTCGAGATGCACACAAATACACAGGTGTACATCCACATGTTCATGCACACACACACACACACACACACACACACACACACACACACACACACACACACACACACACACACACACACACACACACACACACACACGCACGCACGCACGCACGCACGCACGCACGAATGCAAACACCCACATGCATGCACACACACACACATATGCATACACGCACATGAACGAGAGGATGTGTGCTCCCGGGATGGAGTGTGAGGCGCGGACAACAAAGGCGCCTGTGTGAAGGCCGTTGAGGGCGATGACAGCCTGCCTGTGGACGGCTTCGCCCAAGTACCATGGCGCTGTCTTGGTGGCATCGTCGATGCCAGAGAGGTTCAGCCGAGACCGCGTGTCCATCTGCTCGTGTCACATAAAGCCAAGCAAGACATGATGTGAATGTGAAAGAACACTCAGCACCCACCGATCAACAGGAGCGCAAGCGAGCAAACCATGCAAAAGCCAGCGTACATACAAGCACACTCACACACACACACACACAAACACACACACACACACTCACACTCACACACACACACTCACACTCACACGCACACACACTCACACACACACACACACACACACACACACACACTCACACTCACACGCACACGCACACGCACACACGCTAACCCTGTGGCTCAGGCGACCGCTGCCGGTCCAGCGCGTGCTGGTTGCAGACAGCATCATCTTGCCAAACACCAGCACTCAACGAACGCTCTTTGTGTGCCTGCTGTGCTGTGCTATGCTGTGGCGTGGCGTGTACTCCTCCTCCACCGCTTGCCGAAGGTGATGAAGGACGTGCGTATTGCTGTGCTGTTGTTGTGTGTGTTGCTGTATTGGGTGGTTGGCGGTGAAATAAATCGCCACCGCTTTCGCTGCTCTTCGCGCGCGCGTGTGTGCACAAACAGCAGCAAGAAGAAGAGAGAAGAGAGACGGGAATCAAGGTGTGTGGTGTGGTGTGATGGCGAGAGACAACCACCGTCTCGAGCTATTGGAATCCTGCGCTGTATGCGTGGTGTGTTTGTGGTGTGTTTGTGGTGTGTTTGTGGTGTGCTTTGCCTCCTTCCTTCCTTTCTTGTTGTGTATCTGCTCCCTTTCCGCCCTTCCGCTCGTGGGTGTGGATTTCGGTTTGGCAAGTGAGCGTTGCTTCGTTCCCTGGCGACATGGCTGTCTCCCAAGCAACCAGCACCACTTGCTCTTCCACGCACAGCCACTGCGCTCCTTGCCGAAACTCACGCACTTGCACACACACACACACACATACACGCACACGCACACACACGCAACACATCGATTCACGACTCGTGCACTGGCGCACACGCAGGACAGGACTTTGGAGATCACGGACTGCAACGGGCAAGCAAGCAAGTGAGCCAGTGAGCAGGCGAGCTCGCACGCAAGGTCGCGCCCGTGCTTACCAATCACCATGCACGTGTTTAGGAGCAAGGACGAGCTTGAAGCAGAGGCCGCAGAGTTTGGGAGCATCAGCAAGTTTGGCGATCATGTCGCGGCACCACTCCAGAGCACAGTCGTCTTTGCAGACTGCAAGCACGTGCACATCGCCGAGCTGCCGCCAGTGCCATCTCTCGAGCCTCTGCACACGTATTCCCCAGAAGGTGTGTGTGTGTGTGTGTGTGTGTGTGTGTGTGTGTGTGTGTGTGTGTGTGTGTGTGTGTGTGTGTGTGTGTGCGTATTTACGTGGGCCTTCGCCTGCTTGCATTCCTGCTCACCCCATGCTTACTCTTCCTGCTCACTCCATGCTTACTCTTCCACTGGCACGGCTGCCTCTCCCCCTGCCCGATTGCTTTCCCTACCCCCCTCTCCCGCTTGAGCAGGCATCCATGCATACCCGCACTCACTAGGCCCACTGCCTGTATGGACTCCCGCGCACCACAAAAGGCCACAGCAACACTTCGTCAACATCAAGTCTGTGGATGCCAAGCGCTATGGCAGCGACACCAGCAGCTACCTGCTCGCGTCATCCGACACAACCTTTGACATTGTGCTGTCGTGGGAGGCGGTGACACCACCCAGCGAGCGTAGCACTGATACCAGCGAGCAAGACAGGCAAGACGAGTCACGCGTGTTGAGAATCGACGCAGGCCGCTCGTTTGAGGGCAGGGCGCTCCCGTCAGCGTACTCGCGAACTCGCCTCCACCCCACTCAGGAGGGGCACCTCGCGTACATCCGCATGTGGACCAACTCGATCCACTTGCTCGACCAGGACAAGTGCGTGCGTGAGTCGTGCATGTGTGTGTGTGCGTGTCTGTGTGTGTGTGTGTCTGTCTGTCTGTGTGTGTCTGTGTGTGTCTGTCTATGTGCGTGAGTCGTGCATATGTGTGTGTGTGTGTGTTCGTCTGTGTGCGTGTCTGGGTTTTAGAACACCCGCATGCACCCCCCCCCTCTCTATTTCTCCCTCCCACCCCCACCCCCCCCCCCCCCAACGCCCTGCAGAGAGGTTCGAATGTTCAAAGCAACACGAGCGCCGCGTGCACTTGCATATGTGCAGGTTGGCCCTGAGGACACCACGCTGTTGGCTGTCACTGAAGGTGTTGCCTTTGGCGTCATGCTGATTTGATTTGTTCGGAAAGGGGTGTGAAGAAGCAGAGCAGAACAGACGGGAGCATCAAAGATGGCGATGGGGGGGATGGCGATGATTAAAATGAGCTGACGATTTGACGTGGGCTGTATTGTTGTGTATGCAGGCACATGCTGTGACGCATATGTGTCTTGGCAAACGCTCGAGCCTCCACTCGCCTCATGCGCTTGCTACGCGTGAGCCCACCCCTCACCACCTTGCCACGCCTCTTTGCTTGTCTTCATCAGGTGGCATGATCAGCGCCTGGGATGCCCGCTCGCCAAAGCCCGTCATGTGAGTGCACAGTTCAGTGGTTGTCTGGGCGTGTTCACACCGTCAGTGGGATGCTGTTGGTATGCCTTTCATGCACACGACATGATGGCCACACTCTCACTTTCTCGTGCACACGCACGCACGCACACAACACACACAATGCATGCACCATCCCAGGCGGGAGCAATATTCGGCGTCGTGTCTACTCGCCCTCGCTGGGCAGGACGGCATGCTCACGTGTGCAGGTGAGGCAATGACGAATGTCCCAAAGCACCAAGTCAACACAAACATCAGCGTTGACAACACCAACACACACAACTCTGTCGTTTTCACTGTGAGACCTTGTCCAACCAAATACATTCACACACACACTCTCACACACACTCACACACACACACACACACTCACACACACATTCACGCACACACGCACACATTCACACACACACACACGCATACACAGGGCTGGACCGGTCTGTTGATGGCATTGATCCACGTACGTGGCACGTGTGTGGCGCGTGGAAGTCGGCCCTCAAGTACGACGTGGGCATGGTGAGCATGTCGCCGCGCACGCCGGGCGTCTGCTGCGCTGCTTCTGGCGGCGACTCGGAGATTGCCTGGGGCACGTGGATGACCAAGAACAAGCACAAGCACAAGGTAATAGCACAGAGTGTGTGTGTGTGTGTGTACCTATGTGTGTGTTTGTGTCTGTCTGCCTGTCTGTCTGTCTGTCTGTCATCTCTTGCCATCTCTCACCCCTCCCCGCCATCTCTTCACCGACCACGATGACATACATCACTCTACGCCTCAAAACCCCACTCGCCCAACACAACCACACCTCCCCTCCGTCCCCCAAACCTTGTGTAGACGTCTCGGCTGACGTCGGACTGCGTGTTCCGCGCAGACGCGCGCTGGTGCGGCATTTCCCATCTCCCAGACTCCGGTGAGCAAAACAAAGCATGCTACTGCTGACGCTGCTGCTCTTGTTCTTGTTCTTGTTGTCGTCGCCACGCATAGCGTGATTGTCGTCGCCACGCGTAGCTTGCCCTAAATGCAGTTGTGTTGCATTCTGCGCGTCCGCACTCACGCCCGCCCATCAACTCCAGACGACGTGGTGGGCATGACGACAACGGGGCACGCGTATGTGTTTCGCAACACGGTGCCGAGCGAAGAAGGGGAGCAACAGCAAGGGCAGGCGCAGCAAGACCTTCAGCAACAAGCGCAACAGCCGCAGGAACAGAAGAGGAAGGAGGCACAGAGGCGCAGCAGCCACGGTGGCAGCGATGATGGCAAGCTTCCAGCCAAGAAACCAAAGGAGGAGGAACAAGCGTAACATCACACCACGCTGAAACACCATCCATGACACAGGTGTTGCTTCCTCTCGACAACTTGCATTCCATGTCACTCGTTGCCCTTGCAGTTTGTGAAGTTTCGTAGGCTTTCGTGACGCATGCTCCAGCCATCCCTTCTGTCCCCACCCCTCGCCCTCTCTCTTGCTTGCATTAGCGCGTTCGCTGGAAATGTAAGGTGACGATGATGCGTTTAATCAACGGCAGCAACAAAACCCATCTCCCCACTCGTGCCTCAAGAGCCACAACCACCGCGCAATAAAAGAGTGTGCGAGCCAACAAACAAACACAATGGCAACAGAAAAGGAGGTGGTTGTGTGGTTTGGGAGGAAGGAAGGAAGGCAAGGAGGACAAGGGAACGAGGAAGAGAGCAACCAACACGGAAGCGTGTGGCATCAACAAAGACGCAAGGAGTTGTAAGTCGAATCGGGAAAACGTGGTTGACGAAAGGAAAGAAAGGAAGGAGGTCTGCTGCTTGCACAGTTGGGTACAGGCGACGCAGCGGGACAGTCCATGTGTCGGCTGGGTTGGCGGGGCACAACAGAGGCGGAGGGAGAGGGGGAGAGGAAAAAAACAAGAGGCAGTTGGTTGGTTGCGTTGATGTTCATCAACTACAAACGACAACATCCAACACAAACACGAAAGATAAGAAGAAACGAACAACAACAAAAACGCGTCGTTCGTCGTATGCAGCTGTAAAGCAGCACGCTGCACACGAGACACAACGAGGGCATAGTACAGGGCCACAAGGCAGGGATGGGTGTCGCAGAAGCACCATCCATCCATCCATGTAACCAATTAGACCACGCACGCTTGATCAACGACATGAAGAAAAAAGCAGCACAACAAGCGAGGGGCAACGGGAAGCCCGGGACACAGCGTCTGAACAACCAAGTCAAGCAGCGTGCAGAGTGCACCAAACACGTGCACGAGCATGCAGGTTGAACAGCAGGCTGCATGCAAGCAAGCACGCGTGTTTTGCGGCTACAGCGTGGAAGAGACCCACAGAGTGGTCGACCAGCGAATACACAACAAGCACGCTGTGAAGCAAAACCACGCACGCACACACCACGCGTGCCGATGACGCAGCCAATGCCGGCAAGTCCGAACAATGAAAGACACAGGGCACGCCTGAGCCTTCGCCCCAGCTGCTCACGCTCACATACGCTTACATACACACACGCACACACACGCGCACAAATCACAGCAACAGCAACAACGAAAGGGGGAGAGGACACCAGTTAAACAGCTACATTCCTAAGGGCCGAAAGAAGAAAGGAAACAAAAATAAAAGCAGCGAGCAAGCAAACATGGTGGTGACACGAATGCGCACTGTGTCCACACCGCCATGAGGACAGCAGCATCGCAAAACACCACCACCAGCCAGCACGCTGAAAAGAAATTGATTGAGCACAAGCTCACCCTATTATGGAAGCAACAGAAGAGACGTGGAAAGGGGGGGAAGGGGAAGGGATAATGACAACAACCTAGTGTAGCAGAAGAAGAAAGAGAAAAAGTGAAAGGGGGGTGCACTTCACTTGCTTGTGTGTTGGGAGAACGAAGAACGGAATGGATGGGGAAGGAACCGGTCAAAGAGAGAAGGGGGAGAAACGCCAATTATGGGGGAGTACGAGTTCCAAGAAGGCTTGGCATGATGAATAAAAGGAAAGAATGGAGGGTGTGTGAAAAAGAAAGGCGGCAGCGAGTAATGCCGGAGAAAGGAAAGTGAAGGTTGAAGGTTTGGGTGTTAGGTTGAGGGAAAATGACGATTGGGTCGGCTCTACGCACGGCAAGTCACGAGCTGCCGAGATTGCCATCGCCCCCGTTTGTTCAGTGGGTGAAAGCGGTGCGTGCGTGCGTGGAAGGGGCCACGGGTGCAGCCTGCGAGACGGCCGTGTTGTACATGAGCATGTTCGGGGCGAAGTTGTGGGAGAAGGAGGCGAGGTACTGCGAGGGCGCAGACATGTTTGAGCCAAACGGCATGGCCTTGGACAGGTCACCGCTGACCGGCAGCGTCTGCGGCTGCTGCTGCTGCTGCTGTTGCTGTTGCTGGGGCAGGGGTGGCAGCTGCGACGGTGCTGCGGTCATTCGCCCGGTTGCGCTGGAAGGACGGGAGCTGTTTTGGGAGGCGTCGTCCTCGTCCGACCCAGCATGGCTCTGCTGGCCCGGGTGCTCTTCGCTTGGGCGGCGGTGCTGGTGTTGGCGGTGATGTGCGACCTTTGCGCGCTTGGTGGGGAGGGCGCCGCCATGCTCCTCGGTCATGGCCATGGCCTGCGCATCAAACGGTGCACTGAAGCGCATGCCACCGGGCATCTTGGCACCGCGCTGCTGCTGCTGCTGTTGCTGCTGAAGCATGAGCATGTGCTGGAATTGGGGGTTCATGAGCGCTTGCGAGAACATGGGGAGCGTTGGGAAGACGTGGGAGTGTGGTGCGGCGGTGGATGGCGTGGTGACGGCCGAGGCGTTGCTGATGCCGGCGGGTGACGTAGCGGTGAGGTGTGGCATGCTCTGTGGCGGGCTGTGTGCGTCGGTGGAGCTCAAGCTGTTGGGGTTGCGATGGTGCATGAGAGGGGAGTCGTTTGGGGATGAGCGGGAGCCCGAGGAAGGCCCGTCGTGGTCCTCCAAGAGCGCCACGCCTTGCCCTTGGTGCTGGTGCTGGTGATGGTGGTGGTGGTGCGAATGCTTGGTGTGGAGGTGGTCTGGCTGAAAGTTGGTGGCGGTGACAGCGGTGGAGGAGGAGGAGCTGGTGGTGGTGGTGTTGCGCTGTTCTGGGGAGCGGTGGCGGTGCTTTCTCTTGTGCTGCTTCTTGCTCTTGCTCTTGCTTTTCTTGCTGCGGTGCTCTGTGCCGTGGTGGGATGCAGCGGAAGCGGAAGAAGTGGAGGAGGCGCTGGGGCTTGCGGCGTTGCTTGCCTCTCCGAGCGGCTGGTGCGGTGGTGAGCGGGCCATGGCTGACGATGCCTTTGCTGATGATGCCGATGCCGACAGTGACGCCGATGACGCAGAGGAGGCCGTGCTGGAGTTTGAGTTTGAGCGCTTGCTCAGGCCGGCACTGCAGAAGTGAGGTGGAAGAGAGAGGGGGGAGGGCAAGAGGGCAAGAGGGAGAGGAAGAGGAAGAGGAAGGGGGGAGAAGTCAGCGCAGGCCAACCAGGAAAATTTTGGAGAAAACGACAGCACAAAATACATTGAAAATGGTGTGAGCGACACGATAAAAGCACAACAAATTAGGGCGGGCGTGTCGTTTGCCCGTCTGGTGGTTGATGCAATGTGGAGGACTTGGGGCAAACAGGTGGTGATGATGATCGAAAATGATGACAAAGCAAGATGGGCGCAAGTCGTTGCGTTGTGTTGCGTTGTGTGTGTGTGTGTGTGGCGAAAAAAAAAAAAGGAAAGGAAAAGGAGATGTCGCAGTGTTGGCACAAACACGTTGGTTGCGACTTTTGCTTGTGTTTGTTTGGTTTGTTATGCGTGAAGGGGTGGGTTGATTTGACTTACGCCGCTGCTGCCGCCGCTGTTGGCGGTGGAGGTGGGATTGTGGAGTCGACCATGGCGGCTGCGATGAACTTGCTGGTGGTGGATGGGCGGGTGGCCAGTTCTGTGGTTCCATCCGGGTGGTGGATGATGGGGATGCCGGAGCGGGCCTTCTGCGCGCCCGCAGTGCCGGCCACCAGTGTCAAGTGCATCCTGCACACAAACAAAGACAAACAGAACAGACAAAGGAGGGTGATGTTGTGGCATGATGATGATGCAGATAGGTTGAGCGTGAGGGCTGTGTGAAAAAAGGGAAGAGGGCTTCATGTTGCGGGCAGTGTGTGTGGCTGGGAGGGTGGGAAGAAATGGGGGTCCAATGTAGGCCAGGTCAGTGGGTAGTGGAAACGCAACAGAAAGAAAAACCGCGCAGCCCCAAGATCACAGGCACAACACAAGTTGTACTGTGTGTGTGTGTGTGTGTGTGTGTGTGTGTGTGTGTGTGTGTGTGTGTGTGTGTGTGTGTGTGTGTTGGTTGAATTGCCCCTTTTTGGTTGCATGCGTGCATAGACAGTCGACGTACGCGGTGAAAAAGTCGTCGACCTCCATCTGGGTGGTGCGTTCGAGGTGCTGGTAGAGCTCGAGCAGGCGCCTGCCGTGAACGGGCAGCTTGTCTGTGTCTCTGAGGCGCCAGAGTCCGCCCAAGCCCGGCCTGTGCTCCGGGTGCGGCGAGTCGTGGTTCCAGGCAAACGACCCGTTGGCGCCAGATTCTTGGTAGAAGCTGGTGCGCATGGAGAGGTTGTGGCGCACTGAGTTCTCAAACCCTTTGGTGCTCTTGGACTGCACAAAGGGCAGGCCGCGGCGCACAAACGAGTAGATTTGTGCCGTGCGCAGCGCACCCGTCTCGCTTGTGTGCAGCGCAAGCGCAATCAGGCCCTGTGTGTGTGTGTGTGTGTGTGTGTGTGTGTGTGTGTGTGTGTGTGTGTGTGTGTGTGCATGTGAGTGTGAATGTGTGTGTGTGCGTGCATGTGAGTGTGAATGTGTGTGTGCATGTGAGAGTGCAAGAGAGCGCGCAAGGGGCTACTTTCGGAGGCAGCAAGAGGTAGAACGACAAGCCGAAAAGACACACAGACACAGACAAGCAGCCAGCTCAAAGGAAAGCAAGCAGCAACACACACACACACACACAAACCACAGGAATCAAGCATGCATGCAAGGATACATCATCAACAAGCAAGTCAGCCATACCGCGTATGTGATGTGGATCTTGCTGCCCTTGCTGTTGAGCGCAAACGTATCCATGTTGCTGGTTCTGGGCATATGTGTGTGTGTGTGTGGTGCACGAGGATTGGTGGTGGATAGAGGCGTGAGGGGGAAATCGACAGATGAAATGAGATGAGGTGGAGATGAGATGAGATGCGATGGAAGGGCGGTATGCGAGGGCAAGGGGTGGTGGCGTGGTTGGGGGCACGCACGACCAAGAAAGAAAGAAGTGCACGACGACTGGTTCAAGAGAAAAAAATGAAACCCCTTGCATGGAAAGGCGCAGCAAACAAGCAAGTCAAGAAGGGAAGGAAGGAAGGGAGGGAGGTGCACAGCAGGAGACGAACGCAATGGGCACTGCTGGGTTTGTGGAGGTGGTGGTGGTGCTGATGATGCTTAGGCGGTGCGTTACCTTTCTCGTTTGTGTAGTTGCAACGAGGCTGGTTGACAGCTGAAATGAGCCAGGAAGCTGCTTGTTCTGTTTGTCTGTCTGTCTGTCTGTCTATCTGTTTGTCTGTGTGTGTGTGTGTGTGTGCAGCATGAACATGAACGTGCAGGCAACAGCAAGGGCAGGCAAGAGAGTAGGATGATGATGATGATGATGATGATGATGATCAGCTTCGGACAGGATGGTGATGGCGGTGGGACGGTGGGAAAGAGGAGGCGGGAAAGGCAAACAAAGGTGAAAGCGACACGCACGCATGGGTGAACAAATGGAAAGCGCGATGCAACAATGGCACTTGTTTGGCGGTGGTTCGTGTCGTGTGTTGGTCTGCGTGTGTGCGTGTGCGTGTGTGTGTGTGTTGCTTTGCTTCTTACAATGGATATGGTCGACGGTGGAGGAGTAGTCAGGTTCTGACGACGATGACAGGGTCACGAACCCACGGCAAAGTGGTGGTGGTGGTCGTGCGGTGTTGAGAACCGCGTTGGTCAAAGAGAGAAGCGAGGGTGAGGGAGGGGAGGAGGAGAAGAAGAAGAAAGGAGAGGGGGGTTCGCTTGGTGGTGTTGCTCGACACTGTAAGCGGTGGTGGTGGAGGCACACACAAGGGGGTGTTTTGGTGTTTGTTTGCGGAAGGGAGAAAGTGGCACAAACACACCAAACCAACCGCACCAACCAACGAAACAGAGACGACACGCACAACCAACCAACACCGCACAAAGGGGGGAAAAATAGCAGCACGATGATGAAGCAACCGCAACTCCCACACAACGCCTCCCACTAGCAATGCAAGCAAGCAAGAACGAAAGGCAAATAATCTGCTGATTCCTCCAAGCAAAAGCAAGACAGGGGAAACGCACATACACATACACAAGGCACTTACCACGTACGGGCACACATGCGCGCACAAAAACAGTGGGACGGTTTTGCTGTGCCTAGCGCCTTTGGCTGCAGTTATTGTTGCTTGGGCACAAACAACGCCAGTGCGTCACATGAGCAAGCAGTGCGGATGATGAAATGGTGCACCGGGACTTTATGGAAGATATGCCAAAATCACGTTTCGACGCGAACGTGGCAGTGGGGCATACGCCACTCGTGCTTGCAGACGCAATACTTGCCGCCGCAGTCGCGAACGGAAAGACGGACACAACCACAACAGCCACCTGCTGCTGCTGATGCGAAATTATGGCGGCGATACGTCTTGCTTTCTTGCTTTCTGTTGCGGTGGCTTGGGGGGGGGGGGAAAACAGGTGGGACACATCGGAGAAGGTGTTTTGCTTTTTTTTGTTTGGGGGATGGGGGTAGCGTGTGCAGGCATGTCGTGCGAGAGGTGGTGTGTGTGTGAAAGTGCAAGCAAACAAGTGTCGAAGCAGCAAAACACACGTCATTCAGCGTGGCGAAGCAAAAAAAAAAAAAAAGCACGATCAACACAGCGAAGCACCAGGAAAAAAACAACAGGAAACCGTTGTGCGTGTTGCTGCTGTTGCTGCTGTTTGTGCGTGTTGCTGTTGTTTGTGGCTGTGAAGCAAACGGCCTGCCATCAAACCAAAACTTTGTTTTGGGTTGTGTTGCTTGATTGATGGATGTGAGAAAACAACAACGGTTGGTGTGTTTTGCTGCTGCTGCGGTTGGTTGTGTCCACAACAACAAACACCAGCAGCAACAACAAACAACAGCAGCAGCAGCAACACCGGCAGTTGCAACGGTTCATGCACGATGCAGGCGCAAGACGTGATCGTTGTTGTGTGTTGTGGTGGGGTTGTTTGGGTTGTCCGTTTTGATATGGGTTGGATTGGTCGTGTTTGGGGCGGGCAGTGTGCGCAGGGGAAGGTGGCCAGCCAGTAGACAGCAGCAATGACGACGGCGTTGTTGTTGTTGCTGTTGTTGTTGTTGTTGTTGTTGTTGTTGTTGTTGTTGTTGTTGTTGTTGTGCGTTGCAGTTGCTTCTTCTGGTGTTGTTTTCAAATTGCACGAATGAGAGAAGGAGAAGAGGAGGGGGGAACAACACCAAACACACGCATACAGACACACGCACAGGACGCACGCATGCAGACACACACACACACAGATGAAATGACAACGACAAACAACACACGCACACACAACCAATCCCTGCACATGAGTGCCTGCGGCCTATCGCACAGCACAGGTAAGAAACAAACGAGTCAATGCTGGGAAGGGACAAGGAAGGTGGACAGGCAAGCAAGTTGGCAAGCAAGCAAATGCCAGACGAGCAGACGAGCAGACGAGCAGAACAAAGGTACAACAAAGGAGGGTTGAAGCAAAGGAACAAACACCGCAAACAGACCACACTAAACGACAAACGATAAAAGGACAAAAAAAGAGACAAACCAACGACGACACACACACACATACACACGCACACGCACACACACACACAAAAAAAAAAAAGACAAAAAGAACGGGACCAGCGACATGCGTGCTAATGGGGCGAGAGGAAGCGTGGAAAGGTTAACCGCTCCCTTTGGGGTTTGCAGGAGGTTGCTCCCTGATTTGTCATCATTCCATCTACCATTCCGTGCCATCATCGAGCCAGTCATCATCGCCCGCGTAGAACTCGTCATACGCAAAGTCATCATCAGCCTGATTGCGCGTGTGTGTGTGTTACGTGTTGTGATCAAGGGTATGATGGGTGAGCGGGGTATGCTGGAGAAGTACAGTGGCCGCACATGCACTATCGTCGTGCATGTAAACAGCCACGATGGCCCGCAGCACACACACACGCACACGCACACACACACACACACACACGCACACACACACACACACACACAAGCAAACCAACCCCTCACACCCACGCACACGCACCTCGAATTCGTCGTCCCAGATGAGGTCATCGACCTGCTCATCAATGGCAATGCCCTTCTTCGGCACAGACGAGTTGAGCTGCGCCAAAATGTCCGCAAGCTGCTCAATAAACGCCTGCTTCTGCTGGATCTTAAACTGGTACGCCTGTGTGTGTGTGCGTGCGTGTGTGTGTTGCGTATGAGGCAAAGTGGGAGAGATGGCAGCACATGCATCAAGTCCCACACATCAAACTACAAACAACGACAACACCAGCCTCCACTTCACACTCTGTTCACTCCCTCCATTCCCGTGTCTCTCGCCACCCCTTCCCCGCAAAGAAATAAAAATAAAAACAAGGCAAAAACGATCTGCTGCTTGCTGTGCAGCTGGAAAACACACCGCCAGCCTCTCCTCCTTCTCCTGGAGGGTGGACGACTTGGCGTCGAGCTGGGCGCTGTTGTCCGAGACGCGTTCCGTGACCGACTTGAGCTGCGCCTTGAGTTGTGCCAGCTGCTCCTGTGATAGTTCAAGCTCCGTGCTGTCCTCGTCCAGCCATTGCGAATACAGATTCACCAGTCTGGTGTGCAGGATTCAGTGTGCAGTGATATGTGTGTATGTGATGTGTGTGGTTGTGTGTGGTTGTGTGTGTGTGTGTGAGCAGGGCGCAGGGCACAATGTGATGATATGTGTGTGTGTGATGTGTGTGATTGTGTGTGTGTGTGTGTGTGAATAAAATGGATCCACGTGAGCGAGCCAGATCTCTTTTCGCGCACTCTTGCGTGCATGCAACGTGCATCAAAGTGTGCCCACACAGGGCGCTCCTGCTGTCGCTGCTTGTCGCTGCTGTCCATCTCTTCCCCCGCTCCTTCCCCCCCCCAAACCACCCAGTACATACACATCCGCCACGACGCAGCATGCAAGCATGCACGCGTGCATTGTCTGCGCTTCCAATTCCAAACTCACTCGTCTTCTTCTGCCTGAAGCTCGTTCTTTGCCTGTTCCAGTTTGGTGTTTGCGTCCTTGACGGCCGCGTTCTGCTCCAGCGCCTTCTTGCTCTTGGCAATGTTCCCCGCAATCCGCGATTGCTCCACCGTAAAGAACAGAAACGCAGTCACAATCAGCACCACCGCTACAAGAAAAGAGGGGGAGGGGGTAGCGTGTGTGTGGGTGGGTGTGTGTGTGTGTGTAAGTGTGTGTGAGACATGTGCGTGTGTGACATGTGCATGTGCGTGTGTGTGTGTGCGTGCGTGTGCGTGTGTGTGTGGTTGTATCGTGTGAACACGTGAGGTGACGTGTAGACAGCAAAACAACTCCGCTTGCAACAAGTACAGCATCGCAAATGCAAACAAAGAACGTCACGCACTCATCCACACACGCATACAAACAACTGCAAACATCCACACACACACACGTACAAACACGTACAAACAACTGCAAACATCCACACGCACATCCGCAAACACACACGCGCGCATACCGATGGAGAGGAGCAGCTTCTTGGAGAAGATGACGTGGTCCTTTCCCGCCTCGGAAACCATGGGACCGCCAGGGCGGTCAGACCCTTCTTGACACAAAAAAAAAAAAAAGAGGACAGGCAGACGGTTCACGATGCACACGTCAATCGATTGGGGCGAGCTAGCTGTTTGCCACCGCGGCTTCCACACTCACACGAATGCGATACGCACATGTGCATCCACACATCCACACACACACACATGTGCATCCACACATCCACACATCCACACGCACATGTGCATCCACATATTCCCACAAATCCCCCCCCACACACACACACACATCCACACGCACATGTGCACGCATCGAACGAAAGCAGACACGAAAGCAGCTGCACACGCACTCACTTGACTTGGCCATCGTTGTTGTGGATGTGTGTGTGTGTGTGTAATTGTTGGATGCACCTGTGCAAGCGCGCGCGGTTTGTGCGATGAGAATGAAGCACACTCAACAGCACACACAACGACAGGAAGAGGAAACTGGCAACGCACGACGCTCCCAAACGAAGTGCGACAATGTAATGGGAAACGATAGACCAACCAACCAGATAGACCAACCAACCAACCAACCTCACCAACCTCACCAACGACAACACCAACCCCCTGAACTCAGGGGCGACCGCGCTTCTCCTTCCCTCACCTCGCTGTCGTCTTCCTTGTTCGTCTTCCTGGCTTGCTTGCTCGTGGAAAGGGAAAGCGTTGCGTTGACTGACTGACTGCTTCTCTCAGCCAAAAAAAGAATAGTGTGATGGCTGGCTGGAGGCTGATGTTTGTGTGTGAGACGATTTGTGGTGGGAGATGTTCGCGATTCATCTGCAGCTTCGTTAGAGGTGCATGGAATCCCGATTGTTTCGTTTCGTGGCAGGCGGTGCGGGTTGATACGACGCAAGTTTAACGTGGGGCAGCGAAGTGGAGTGGCGAAGGGGAAGGAGAGGTGGCGTTTGCTGGTGCGCGCACACAGTACTCTGCTTGCTTCGCAAACTGCTCTGTTGCCGAGTGTCGAGAGCATCCAAGAAGCAACACACACGCCACACCGTCAAACGCAAAAGCAAGCCGCAAGAAGCACGGAGCACGGAGCACGGAGCACGGAGCACGGAGGACAAGCGAGTGGGAGCGACGAAGACAACGGGGGAGCGCAATTCAAGCACTTGTTTTGCTTGTGCTCGGTGCTTGGGGTGCGCAAAGTTGCAACAGCCTGCCGACGGAGATAAGGGGAATCCCGTGAGCGAGGGAGGCGGTGAACTTGTCAGCAGTGGGTGAGGGAGTGTGTGCGTGAGTGCGTGGGTGAGTCAGTGAGTGAGTACGAGGAGAGTGTGTGTGTGAGAGAGAGAGAGTGACAGCAAGGGAGCACGGCAGCAAGACAGCAAGGGAGAGGCAGTACCCCCTCCCCGCTACATCCACACCAACATGTGCGTCGTACGAGTGTGGTGATGTTTGCATCGCTGTGGTTGTGTGTTGTTGTTTTGTGGTTGGGGCAAGGGCGAGTGGGGAGCTGGTTGCGTGGCTGCGCATTCGATCTTCGCTGTGCTCAAACTCACGCTGCTGACACCACGCACCCACACACACGCACACGCCAAACAGGTCGCTCCATAGTGGCGGCACCTGCGCAGACAGTGATGTGAGTCATGTGTTTTGCAGTTGTCAAAGTCACACTCTGACGCATGCGTGTAACTGTTTGCATACACACACACATACTGACACACCCATCCACTCATCCAACACACACACACACACGCACACGCATACTCATACTCATTAGGAGCTGTATCCGGACTGGCCGCTGAGCCAGGTGTGCGCGTGGCTGCCCATGGTGGGCCTGCAGCACCTGGAGCCCGTCATGCGCCAGGGCAACATCACTGGCCAGAAGCTCGTCACCCTCACAGACAACCAGCTCATCAGCCTCGGCGTCGACGTAAGCAGAACCGACGCCTGTGTGTGTCTGTGTGTCTGTGTGTCTGTGTGTCTGTGTGTGCGTGTGTGTCTGTGTGTGTGTGTGCGTCTGCGTGTCTGTCTGTCTGTCTGTCTGTCTGTGTCTGTGAGTGTGTGTGCGTCTGCGTGTCTGTGTGTCTGTGTGTGTGTGTGTCTGGGTGTGCCTGCCGGCTTGCCTTTCAATCCATCTGCCTTCGTGTGCAAGTCCAAACACCACAACCCTCTTCTCCCCCTTCCTCTACTGTTCTCGATCCTGCGCCACACAATCCTCTGTCTACTGCATCCTCCCATCACCGCTGCTCATCATCCCCCACCCACACCAACTCCCAACTCCCCTCTCTCGACCTTTCCTCCCGTTGTCAGAACCTGGAAGACCGGGCGCAGCTGCTTCGCGCCGTGGCCATGATCCGATCCCGCCTCGAACTCGAGCGCACACACGAGCAGCAGCAACACAGCACGCAGCAGCAGCACAATGACATGCAGCAGCAACAACAGCAGCGGCGCGCGATACCCGACCAGCAAAAACAACATCAGCAGCAGCAGCAGCAGCAGCAGCAGCAGCAGCAGCAGCAGCAAGAGGTGGTTGATGAACACAACCACCAGGCTCACCAGTGGCCGTCGTCCGTGCACAACCGCCACGTGCGAACAGCCAGCGCCGGCGGCGTGACGGGCCGTGGCGGTGCAATTCGCCGTACGTCCAGACACCGCGGCTCCATCGGCGCACGTGGGCAGCCCCGCAGCCAGTCCCTCGACATTACGCCAGCGCACCCCGCCGCCACCACAACGACAGCCGCAACAGCCACAACAGCCCGAGGCGGCGGTGGGAGTGGCCGCCGCGACCCGCGTGGGTCGGGCGCACGTGCATACAGCCTCGCCGCCCGCATCAACGCCAGCAAGCGCGGCAGCAGCAGTGCCGGCGCGTCGCTCTCTGCTGCCACCAGAACCTCCGCCACGACCACGCTGTGGCGCCAGCACCAGCAGCAGTACGGCGGCTCCACCCGCGTCAGCCGCGGCGGCAGCAACGCAAGCAGCGCCATGAGCAGCACAGAGGTCTTGGCGTCTGTCGCTGCCATTCGCACTCGCCACAGTCTGCGCGGTCGCACGTCCCCACGTGTCGCGTGGCACCAGCAGCACAGCGACAGCGCTGGTGGCACCGACGACGATGGCGATTTTGGCGGCAGCGATGGCGGCGGCGTGAACGGTGGTGCCCTGGCCCGCGGTGGCAATGGATGGGTTGTTGGCCACGGCAAGGAAGACATGTTCATGGTGGGAAAGGAAACTGTGCAAAACATCAGCAGCAGCAGGCGGCCATCTGCCACCAACAACGATGATGGCAACAACGTGTTTCTGCAGGAACACGAGGCGCTCATGGAGGTTTCACGCGGTGGTGGAATTGGCGGCAGTGTTGGCGTGGGCGGTGCTCGTGGTGGTGGTGGTGGTGGTGGTCGCAACGCTGGCCCCAGGCTCAGCCACCCACCACCAAAGTACGACCTGATCGCCCCCGGCATCGCAGCGACACCAGCACACACAGAAGCTGGTGATTCTGAATCAAGTGCAGTGGACGACGACGACGCCTTTGATGGTCGTACTGGTGGGCGGACTCGTGGTCATGGTGGTGGTGATATCCATCGACAGACAGCACAGCGCCCCTTCAACGACAATGATGATAATGGTGATGCAGGTGGTGCGAATGGTGCGAATGGTGTTGATGATTACTACAATGATGATGATGAGCCAGCGTATGCGCGCATCACGATGAACTTTGAGACAGACTCGGAGGAGGACGATGGCAGAGCATACACACACCACCACCGCCAATACCACCGCCACCACGGTCGCAGCAGCAGCGGCGATGCAAGTGAGAGCGAATCCAGTTCAGCGCCGTCACGCGACTCGGCGGAGATTGCAGCCCTCTATTCGACCGTCAACAAAGTGCGTGCAAGCATGACCAGTGACGGCATGGGTGTTGAACGCGGTGGCAGCATTGGTGCGGGCCGGCGCCCACGCATGCCGCTCCCGCACGAGATGGAGAGCAGCGACGACGACAACGCCATCATTCGCGAGGACGATGCGGTGTGTGGATTTGTTTGTTTGTTTGTTTGTTTGTTCGTTTGTTTGTTTTGTTTGTTTTGTTTGTTTTGTTTGTTTGTTTGTTTTGTTTGTTTTGTTTGTTTGTTTGTGTTTGTGTTGTTCTCGATTGTATGTATTTTGTTTGTGTGAACACTGTTGTACAACTTTGAGGAATAGTGTCTGCTCATTGTGTTGTCACTTGTCTTGTGCTGTGGTCCCTTGACGATTCACCCTCTGCCCCCTTTCCTCTGCCTCCCCCTCCCCCTCCCCCTCCCCTCCCAACACGTGAGCAGCATCCCGGTGTGCGTGCGCTGGTGGACGAGACGGCGGTGGCCCGCGGCGTGTTCATTGGTGATCACGACAAGCAGTCTGTTGTCGACCTCCTCAGCCACAAGCGAGAGGGCACGTACTGCGTGTTTTCGCTCCCACACGATGACACGCGCCTCTTCCTCGCCCTCGTTGCAACCGGCAACGTCCTCATGAGGTGTGCAGATGTGTAGTCTGCTTGCGTTTGTGCATGGGTGCAGTTTCTTTGTTAGGTTGCTTGGCTGTGTCGTTTTTTTCTCGTTCGCTTCGTTCGCTGCGCTTGTGGGCTCGCTGTGATTGGGTAGTCGTTCGTTTCCCCGTTGTTCAGCCCCCTCCCTTTTGCTCTCTTCCTTTCGTCCTCTTCCTCATCGCCAATCAACCCTTCTTCATTCGTTGCTTGCAGGCCCATCTTGAACACGGAGGCTGGGCTCGCATTCTCTGGCATTTCACAGGCGTTTCCGGTGCGTCAAAGTCACCAGCCCACGCTGCACACAAATACACAATGCTCGTGCTTGCACCATGCACACGCACACGCACACATATGCCCCTGCAACTGCATGCGCACACACTTGGAACACGCCCTCACCTTCACGTTGTTCACGTTGTTCGCCTTTTGTCATGCCTTGCTTGGCTGCAGACGTTGAATGCGTTTGCATCCTACTACGAGACGCACTTTGTGCCACTGCCTGATAGCAGGACGACGCTGCTTCGCTTCCCCGTGCACGAGCCGTCGTCGTTTGGACGCTCCCTCACGTCCCGCGCCCACCAGTCGTTGCAGTCTTCCACGGTACTGTTGCTGCTATCGCATGCTGTTGCTGTTTGTGCGGTTGTTGCCATGGTGATTGTGATGGTGATTGTGATGTGGTTTGCTGCTTGTTGTTGAACACGCATAGTGTTGCCCAGTTGCTTTCTTCAACATTGAAGTTGCCAACAATCGCCACTTGCACCAACTCATGCGCTGCTACCACCACCACCACCACGATCACCACCGCCATTACCAGATTGGGCGGCTGGAGGACTACCCATGGTTCTACGACTCCATCTCCCGCCGCGACGCCGCTCGCATCCTCGAATACGAAGAGGACGGGTGCTTTCTCGTCCGCATGGTCGCAGACATGCCAGGTCAGTCAAGCGGTTGCATGTGAGCATGCGTGATGTGTGTATGTGTGTGTGTTTGTGTGTGTATATATGTGTATGCATGTGCTGTATGCGTTTGTGTGTTGTCTCACACACACACACACTCTCTCTCTCTCTCTGTCTCTCTCTCTCTCTCTGTCTCTCTCTCTCTCTCTCTCTCTCTCTCTCTCTCTCTCTCTCTCTCTCTCTCTCTCTCTCTCTCTCTCTCTCTCTCTCTCTCTCTCTCTCTCTCTCTCTCTCTCTCTCTCTCTCTCTCTCTCTCTTTGTCTCTCTCTTTTGTCTGTCCCTGTGTGTCTGTGCTTCATTTCCATCCCCCACTCTCAACGTTGCCATGCAACTCTTGCCCCCTCCCCGGTTGCAGCCGTGGTAACGCCACAAGCTGGTGAAGAGGGCGAGCAGACCCCAAGCCGAAGCAGAAGAAGAAGACCTGCTCACACGCGCGACACACGTGCGCCGGCACCATCCTCGTCAACAACAGCAACATCGGCAACACCCTTATCATCGGCATCAGCAGCAGCGGCAGCGGCACACGTGAGTGATGCCGATGCAGACGCCGAAGATGAGGCCGAGGACCAGGACGGGCGCGGGCGCAAAGCAGCCAACAGGCGCGCGCGGCGTGGCTGGCGCAGACGCGCAGGCAAGGACCGCGACAGCGGGGCCGAGAGCGAGGGAGAGGATGATACAGCACGACAACAGCGGCGGCGGCGACGAACGCCGTGGTATCGCCACTTGCGGCGGCCGTGGCGACGCCGACAGCGCAACGACAGCGGTAGCAGCAGGGAACAGGACGGTGGTGATGATCGCAGTGGTGTGAGTGGTGCGAGCGCCGGTGTTGGTGATGAGGGTGGCAGCAGCCCGATGGACAAGGCGCGTCAGCAGTCGATGCGGCTGCATGAGCTGACGTCCGGTGCCCCCTTTGGTGCTGTCGTCACCGATGACCGCCCCACCCCAGACACGCCGCAGTCCACGCGCAGCGACATGGGTGCGTTGATCCGTTTGATGCGTGCGATGGTGTGATCATGTGTGTCTGTGTGTGTGTGTGTGTGTGTGTGTGTATGTGTGTCTGTGTGTGTGTGTGTCTGTGTGTCTGTGTGTGTCTGTGTGTGTGTGTGTGTGTCTGTATGGCCGTGGAAATGTTTGCTCCCTCTGCTCGACGGTGCACTCCAATTCATCACACTTGCACGCACACGTGCGGCCATGCTCATGTTCACATCACCACAGCAGCGACGTCGATGCACGAGTCGCCGTCGTGCGCGTACGAAGTGATTATCGCCTATCACGGCCAGACCATCTGCAGACGCATCGAGCGCAGCGGCGTCGGCGTCAGGTCGGTCCGCATGCATGCGTGTGAGCGTATCATTTACGTTTCTGTAAGCGTGATTGTCCATGTTCTGCCTGATCTGTCCCCCTGCTCACCTGCTTGTTTTCTCCGGCTTCTCGTCTGTCCGTCATTCCACCACCCCACGTCCCCTTCTACTCTCACGCCTGTGTGTCCGTTCTGACGCTACTGCACAGGTTTGAGGGCGGGCGCGCGTTCTTTGAGAACATTGAAGTGCTCCTGCTCTCGTACAGCTCGAGTCCCGGCGATGAACTGCCGACGGTGCTGACACATTCGCCTGGCGCCGTCCCAAGCGGCCTCAACGACACCTCTCCTCTCGACAGCTTCATCGTCGCGTCGCGCAGCAAGGGTGAGTGCGTGCGCATGTGTGTCTGTGTATGTCCGGGCATGTGTGTGTGTGTGTGTGTCTGTGATTGTTTTTCTGCGTCTGCCTTGTCCTCTGTCTCTTTTGTCGGTCTACCTGCCTACTTCGTCGCTGCTTATCCACTTCGCTGTCGCCTTTGTGTCCTCACATCCTCGCCTCGCCACAATATGTCTCGCTGCCGTCTCTATCAGGCGGGGTGGGTGAGCGCTTCACGGACCAGCTTGATTTGGACGCGTTTCTCTCTGCCGTCCATCCCGAGGACACCGCCGCCCTCTGGTGGGCCGCAAATCCAGACGAGGCAAAGGTGTGTATGGAGGGGTTGCAGGTGTATGTGTGCGTGTGCGTGTGCGTGTGCGTGTGGGTGTGCGTGTGTGTGTGTATGTGTGTCTGTGTGTCTGTGTATATGCATGTTCTATACAATTCCGTTCCCACTGGCGTTCTGCTTTCACTGCATGTTCGCGTGACATTGCATTTCTCTGCACATTCTCAACATCACTCTCGATCCCCAAACATCCATGCACAGGTTGCTGCGCTGCGGACGCTTGAGGGGCGAGATGGCACGTTCTTTGTCCGCCACGGTGGACAGCAGGGCAGCTTCGTGCTTACGTACAAGGCAAAGGGCCATTTGCACACGGACCTGATTCGCGGCACCCTCACAGACCAGGGCGAGCCCCGCCTCTACCTCAGTGCGTGTTGTGTGCTTTCTCTCGACACTGTGTGTGTGTGTGTGTGTGTGTGTGTGTGTGTGTGCGTGCGTGCGTGTGTGTGTGTGTGTGTGTGTGTGTGTGTGTGTGTGCGTGTGTGTGTGTGTGTGTGTGTGTGTGTGTGTGTGTGTGTGTGCTGCGTATTTTCCTTTGACTGTGTCTGTGTCATGAGACGTGTTTGGTCCGATGCCTGAACAGCACCCTGGTTGCCCCTCCATCCCTCGTCATCGTCTACCCCTGCTCACTTCCGAGTCTCACATACACTTTATTCCTTTGTCCACTCTGCAGCCCAAGCGCAGCAGAAGACGTACAAGACGCTGGCAGAGCTGGTGCAAGCGCTGGGCTCTCCCAACCCGTACACGGCGTGTCCGCTGCGCTCAACGTCATCGTCGTCGCAGCGCACGCGCGGTGGCGGCGGTTCCCACCGCAACCTGGCCGGGCGGCTGTCGACCGTGGAAGAGGAGACGAGCGAGCAGTCGTCACGCAACAGCTCCCGCTCCCGCTCGCGAAGCACCGACGCGCGAAAGTACGATGTCGTGCATTTTGCTCTTGCTGTCCTGCCATCAACTGTTTTTCATTCCGCTTTTCACGTGCACACACACACACACGCACATGTCCCTCTCACTCACTCGCTCGCTCCCTCCTATTTCCGCACCACACCCCCACCCACCCATCCACCAACCCAACTCTGCTTGACAATGACGCACCAGGTCGCTCCGCCAGCAGTTTTTCTCGCTGTTCCGCACGAAGCGCACGCGCACAGCCCGTCTGAGCATGGGCAGGTCGGTGTCGCCCGAGGCAGAGGTGCGCTACCGCTCAACACACGCCCCGCTCACACCCGACCGCGGTGTTGGCGATGCGCTCCTCGCACAGCAGCGGTCGCCAACCACACCGTCGTCACGCAGCGGACACGACAGCAGCACCAGTGCAACGACCGCCACTGGCACAACCGCAACAGCGTCGCCCTCAACGACAGCGCAACCACCGCCGTCATCGCCGTCATCTGGCGGAGTGCAGCGGGGACGTGTTGCGGGCATTGGCGGGTCGATGCGGGTGAGCCGGCTGACAAAGGAACCGCGACGCCGGCAGCCGGGCTCGGCGCCAGGCAGCAAGACATCGTCGTTCAAGCACTCGCGCGCCAGCGACTACACGTCACCACACCGCCGCGCCGCCGCTGCTGCTGTTGCCCGCGGTGAAGCGCGCTACGCTGCACACGGCCCGGACGAGCACGCAGCTCAACACGAACTGCACTACCAACAACAACCTCAGGAACTAGAACAAAGGCAGCAGCAATATCAGCAGCAACACCAAGGCCGCAGTCGCCATCAGGGGCAGGGTGCAGTTGACCGCCTGTTGTCGCCGCTGCCGCGCGATGTGGTTGAGCGTGCGCGGCCCTCATCTGCAACACCGCAGCACCCGCACCAGCATGTGCTCGGCGCGCCCACCAGTGCACCCGTGCGCCTCCACCGTTGCGGCACCACCACCGCTGCTGGCGGCCGGGTTGGTGGCGACCTCGAGTTTGACTTTGACGACGAGTTTCTGTTGGCTGGCGGCCGTGCGGATATGGAAGCGCTGCGCACGTCGCGTCTCAAGTCGCGGTCTGAACCGAACCTCGGTGTTGGCTCGCCCGCCAAGTCCATCCTGAAGAAGGCCACGCTGAGCAAGATTGCGCCGCCGCAACACGTCCGATTTGTCGAGAAGCCAGAGATTCGCCAGCTCTCCAGACAAGCGTCCCTTTCGGTGTGTACATATATGTGTGTATGTCTGTGTCTGTGTTTGTGTGTCTGTGTTTGCGTGTGTCTATGTGTGTACACATGTGTATTCTGTCTCTGGTGCTTGTTGCACACCACCATGTTACTCTCTATTTTCACCCCCATAAGGTATCACATCACTCCATCTCCTGTGCCACTCACCCTGTAAACTCCTCCACCTCACCACGATTGCATTCTGCCTGCATGCGTCAGCCGCACGATTGGGTGTGGAATCAGATTGGTCGCCCAAGAGCACAGGCAATTCGGGCGCTGCAAGGGATGCCCACAGGCGCGTTCATTGTTCGTCGCAGCGAAAGCAAACCAATGCAGTGAGTCTGGGTGTCTCGTGTCATTGTGCTCGTAAGCTTGCGTTTCGCTCCGTTTGTGCGTCTGTGTGTGTTAGCGGGCACACTCAGTTCAATGCATTTCAGTTGTGCAAACGTGCTCACTGCCTGTCCTTTGTTGCGTGCTGCAGCTTCGCCATCACGTATGTGTACGGCAACGCGCTCTGGGATGAACTCATTGCAACCAACGCGCCCACCATCATGTCCAGCGGAGGTAACGTTTCTTGTGCTATGTGATCGAATGCTGGTGTGTGTGTGTGTGTGTGTGTGATGTGTGTGATGTCGCTGCTTCTAGTTCACGCTCACTCCTTTGTTATCTGTGGCTTCACTGCAGCGTTTTACTTGGAGTCGGCGCCGCACATGGTCTTCACCTCGTTCTTCAAACTGCTGGTGAGCTGAAGTACTGTTGCGTGTATCCAACACCTAACTCATCACATCCCCACCCCTACCTCCATTCACTCAACCTCCTCCCGCTCAACCTCCTCCCGCTCACCACATGCTCACGCAACACGCCCTTCCTCCCCTCCTCACCCTTCTTCTTCTTCTTCCATGTCAACGCCAACGCCACAAAGCACTACTTTTGCAATGACGCTGGCGTGCTTGCGTGCCCGCTGCGGCTGCCGTCCTCCTTTGATCTGAGCCTCATCAGCGAAGGACCAGGCCACCTGCGCAAAGCACCATCCACAGACAGCATGACAAACATCTTCACGTCCACGCTTGGCCCCAGCTGGCACTCGCGTTCCCCCGTGCGACAACCGCAGCAGCAGCAACAACAACGTCAGCGCCATCGCATGATGATGCAGTCACCATCCCGTGCACGCTCCATGCAAGACCAGCTGCTACAGGACATGCAGCGCCAGAGCCAGCAGCGGGCGCGGCTTCACTCGCAATCGCCAACCAAGAGGCGGCAGTCCCCGCACCCAACAGCATCTGCAACACCCGCGCCAACAGCAGCAACCAATTTCGCTGCTGCTGTTGCCCAAGCAGGCCGGCAGGAGTGGCGAGAAGGCAGCCGTGGTCGCTCCACCACGCCGCGTGCGCCGTCACAGCAATCACGTGCTGATGCCACCGCAACACCCACCGTCATCTACAACCCACGCCATGTGCCAGCACCCAAGTACTCCCAGCTCGATCAAGCGGACCCAGCGACAAGCACAGCGCGCTCTCACTCACATTCCCAAACACGCGCCCAACGCCACCACCACCACCCACTTGGGTTCCGTGGCCACGACACCGCTGCATCATCCTCAGTGCACGGGGGGCGCCTCACCCCTGGCCAACGTGCGGGCGGGAATGACGCGTGGCTGCGACAAACACAGTCGCATCCCGGCTTCTCGCAGGCAACGCTCAGCGAAGCACAGCAGCGAGTGCAGCAGCGGGGTGGTGGGCCACCGCCACCAGTGTCACCCGCTCTCTCCACGCGAGCAGCACACACTGCGCGCCGCAACGCAGCCAGCCCCCATGTCTCACTCGGCATTCGCGGTGGTGGTGACAACACTGGAAGCGTCACCCGCTCCCAACAACACCTGCTCACGTCGCGCAGCCACCACGGCGGGCATCGGTCGAGAAGCGCAGCCCAGCTGCTGGGCCCGACGCCGCGGGGCCGGTCACTGTCGCTCTTCCCTCAGAAGTCGCCAACAGCAGTAAACGCAGCAAACACAGCAGGAGGAGCGAGAACCTCCACGACAACGATGATGATGATGATGTCGCCGGCCAGTCCTTCGGTGATGGCGCGATCACGTGCGGGCGCCAAGAGCACACCGCTGGACCCGGCCCACCCCATGCAGCAGCGCTACGCTGACATGCACGTGCACAGGCTTTGAGAGGCGGGAGAGGTGAAAGGGGTTTCAGAAGCGGAGTGTGTTTGCTGGGCTGACTATGGTGAATGAACAGCTGTGTGTAAAGACGAGAGCGGGGTTTTGGGTGTGTACATGAACGCTGGCATTGTCAGAGAGAGAGAGAGAGAGACGAATGGTAATGAGGGCAGTGTGTCGCGCACACACAAGGATAGCTTTGTTGATTTGATGTATTGCTTTGTATCACAATGTCACACATCTTGTTCATGCACAACAACAAGTAAACAAACGCTCAAACCGAAACACGCACGCAAAGACTCACGCAAGCATTGCAGTGCAGTGGAAAGCATGACAACAAGAGAGGAAGACAATAAGACAGCATGATGACACAAGTGGCAGTGGAGATGCATGCACATTAGTCGAGGAAGTGTGCCGTCTCAAGGTACGCTGCCATGACATCGGCAGCCTTGCGGGCTGCAATGGGCCGGAACACATTGCGCTGGTCCTTGTGCGTTTCTCTGGCGTCTGTTGCTGCTGCTGCTGTTGGTGCATCCACGCGGGCACTATCCATCACCTTTGAATTGTGCTTCTTGTTGGCCTTTCTGCGTTTGTCAAAGGCTTTGTTGCCCGTCTTCTCATCCTTCAGCTGACTCGCGTCGCTCACAGCTTTGATGACGGGAAGCGCCTTGACCTTGGACATGGCATCCCTGGTGTCGCTGTCGCCCTGCGCCATCCGCACGGCCTTGAAGAAGGCAAACGCCTCCATATCCAGACCATCCTTCTCTCCCACCAGCGCCGTGCAGTCCTCGCGGACCTGCGGGTACGTGTACAGCACGCCATCCTTGTGCACCGTCAGCATTCCCGGCATCTTGAATGAGACGACCTGGTGGTCTGCGACATCCGTGCAGGCATTCTGGTACGACGTGTTATCCTTGGCTGACTGGAAGTAGTAGTCCTTGGTGCACATGCGAAACTCCTCCTTGTCGTACGCAGACCTGTCAATCTTCTCACCACCGCTGCCAGTGGACACCATCCGCCCAGCGCGCGCATCAACCGCTTTTGCCGCCATGACCACCTCGCCAAGACGGTGCCCGCCACACACGCCAATCATGCCGATGTAGTCCGGCTCAAGTGCAGCGATGACCTGCGACACGTGGATGCCGCACTCGACAGGACCTTGTACGTTGCCGATGAACCGCGTGACGGTGATGGTGTGCTCGACATGTTTCTTGGTCATGTGGAACTCGTAGCGGAAGAAGCGATCCGTTTTCTTGTCCTTGCGGTACCCAACGTTGAAACGCTTGCCAATAGAGGCCTCGTCCCGAATGAAGAGTTCGCCCTTGTCGTTTAGGGCCTTGTTCATGGCCTCAAACTCATAAGGCTTGGCGCACACGATGACAATCCTGAGGTGGGTGGAAGGGGCGAAAGGGGGAGCAGCAGCGGAATAGTGGGTGTGGTGTGTGAGTGAATGAATGAATGAGCTGAGGTGATGAGTTCACACGCAATGTCGCGACATCAACAAGACGACAAGACCAAGCATTACTGCATGACACTAAAGTGCACACAGACAAGCACTTACTTCTTGCCAGCGGCCTCGTTTTGCTTGCCATTCTTCTTCTTCTTCTCCTCCTGCTTCTTGCTCTTCTTCGCTTTGGCCTTCTTCTTGGTGCGCTTGGCTCTGTGGGCCGTGGACATGAACATGGGACGGGTTGTGGTGAGCGAAAGTAAGCAGAAACGTGCGATGCGACGTGCTGTTATGTTACTGTGCAAAGGTGGTTGGGAGCTTGTGACGGGACTGTGGTCGAGGTGTGTCGGTGGCTTGTTCTGTGTACTGATGCGAAGTAAACCAGGGAACAAAAGAACTGAACAAGGCACAGACAATCACGTGAGATAAGCGACAACAGGGTGCAGGGCAACACACACGTGCTAGCAGGCAACAAGAGGGGTGCTTGTGGTTAAGCAAGGGGGAAAACAAGAGACAAGGGCAACAGACGTAACACAGCATGCAGGCATGTGTCGTGCCGTCATCTTAGTTGATGACGGTACCGTGCCAAGGGCTCGGGATCGCCGCCGAGAGGCAAGCAGTTCCGAGGCACTGGGCACGGCGTGACACGACACAGGCAAACGCTACTATACGACACTCACGAGTTAAACATGACGTCAATCAGGCTAAACATGACATCAAACATTAGGAGAACAAAGAACATGCAAGGCAGTACGGTGCCGCGAAGGGCAAGGAAGGGAAAACAATGGGACACAGCGGGGCAAGGTGCAGGGAACGGGGAGACCGAGAGAGAGAGAGAGAGAGAGAGAGAGAGAGAGAGAGAGAGAGAGAGAGAGAGAGAGAGAGAGAGAGAGAGAGAGAGAGAGCGAGAGAGCGGCAGGGGGAGGCAGGCGAGCGACGTTACACCTTCCCCCTCTCTAAGACGGCTTGCCCTCAAGCCGATGCGTTGCGCGAGGCCTGATGCCACTCCATGATCAGTGAACGCACGTCGCGTGTGAGCTGGTCCTCGTTGATCCAAGTGCTGTCGTTGATGTCGTAGCCGGCCCACTTGATCAGGTACTGCCTCTTGCCGCGTCGGACTCGCTCGTCGAGGATGCGTTCCACCTCGTATTCGTCCGATTCGCCGTCCGGCAGGTGTGGTGGTTCGTCATTGGGGCGCGTGTTGAAGTCTGACGGGCTGTTGACACACGGCTTGGTCTTGGTGACGTTGACGACCGGGTGCGCCCGCACGTGGCTGGGGAACCGGAGTCGCACGGTCGTGCGCGACGGCATGTCGATGACAGTGAAGGGGCCTTGCCAGCGGGGCTTCAGCTTGTCCTTGGGTCGTCGCTGGTTGGCCTGGTCGACGAAGAGGTCAGCGGTGACCCATGCCTGATCGCCGGGACTGTATTTGATGTCGTCGCTGCGGCGCTGGTCGGCGTACCTCTTCTGCTTGTCCTGTGCCTGGGCGAGGGCGTCTCTTGCGGCGGTGATGATGCTCTTGAGGCGCACCACGAAGTCCTCGGCTGCAGGTGTGTCCGTGCGGCGTATGGCCTGGCGGGTGACGAGTGTAGCTGGGATAATCGGGTGTCGGCCCGTCTCTAGGAAGAACGGAGACTGGCCCGTGGAGTCGCTCTTGCTGTTGTTAAGGGCGAACTCTACCACGGGGAGGAGTGAGTCCCAGTTGTCCATGCGGTAGTTGACGTAGTGGCGGAGGGTCTGCTCCATGGTGCGGTTCGTCCTTTCTGTTTGGCCGTCGGTCTGCGGGTGCTGCGATGTGGAGAATTGAAGTCGGGACCCCAGCAAGCGGAAGGTCTCCTTCCAGAAGGCGCCGGTGAAACGGGGATCTCGATCAGACACAACTCTGGCAGGAAGTCCATGGTGTCGGAACACGTGGGAGATGAACAGCTTGGCCACGTCTCGGCCCGTGCACTTGCTAGTAGTCGCCGCCAGGTGACACCGTTTAGTCAGCCTGTCGACGAAGACCACGATGGCGTCCTGTCCTGTCCTGGTCCTGGGTAGTCCGGTGACGAGGTCGAGGCTGATATCGGTCCAGGGTTCTCGGGGAACGGGTAGGGGCTGCAGGGGACCAGGGGCAGCGCCCTGTCTCGGCTTGTGGCGCTGGCAGGATTTGCAGCTCCGCACATAGCGCTCCACGTCCCGCCGCATCCGGGGCCAGTAGAAGTGGCGCGCTAGCGCCTCGTGGGTGCGGTGAATTCCTTGGTGGCCCGCTGTCGGAGTGTCGTGGAACTCAGCCAGAAGCGGCACGCGTGCCGTCTCTGGTATGCACCAGCGCAGAGGTATGTCCTCCGGGTGCTCCGGGTGCTCCTGGTAGATCAGCAGGTCTTCGTCATTGAGTCCGAAACGGCTGAGCTTCGCCGCCACGGCAGGCGGTGGTGTCTGGTCGGGGTTCTTCAGCGCCTTGTAGATCGGGCCGAATTCCTCGTCCTCCGCGATGTCGTTGCTGATGCGTTTGACCAGGTCCGCCGGCGTCGCGGTAGAGATGGCGGCGCATGTGATCTCCTGTGCGTCTGAGTCAGGGATCCTGCTAACGGCGTCGGCAGCTACGTTGGTCTTGCCCTTGATGTAACGGATGTCGAGGTCGTAGTCGTTCAGGAGCTCTATCCATCGCGCCCATCTGCCGTTCAATGTCTTCTGGGTGGTGATGTTCGTCAGTGAGCGGTGGTCGGTGAGGATCGTGGTCCGTTTGTCGAGGAGGTACACGCGCCACTTGGTCAGCGCGTAGATCAAGGCGAGGGCCTCCTTGTCCCGCACTGGGTAGTTGAGCTCCGCGGCCTGGAGTTTCCGGGACTCGTACGCGACTGGCTGCCCATCTTGGAGTAGGACGGCGCCTATCGCTCGGTCTGATGCGTCGGTTGCCACCTCAAATGGCTGGCGCTGGTCAGGGATGCGGAGTGCAGGTGCTTGTGTCATACGACGCTTCAGCTCCCGGAAGGCCTCCTCCTGCGACGGGCCCCACTTGAACCCGTTCTTCTTGAGGGCGTCGTTGAGCGGGGCGCAGATCTTGGCGTAGTTGGCGATGAAGCGGCGGTTGAAGTTTGCTAGGCCTAGGAAGGACCGCAGCTGGGTTGTGCTCTGCGGCGTCGACCAGTTCTCGACGGCGTCCGCCTTGGCAGGGTGCATCTTGAGGTGGCCCTGTCCCACGATGAAGCCTAGGAACTCCACCTCCGTCTGGAACAGGTGACACTTGCTCGCCTTGCAGTACAGTCGATGGTCGCGGAGCTTCTGCAATACCTGACGAAGATGCTGCTCATGGTCTTTCTCATTCTTGGAGTAGATGACGAGGTCGTCGATGTAGGGTGCCATGAACTTGTCCATTTCCTGCTTGAAGACGTTGTTGACGAGGCGTTGGAAGGTCGGGGGTGCGTTGGTCAAGCCAAAGGGCAGCACAAGGAATCGGAAGGTGCCGTAGCGAGTGCGAAAGGTCGTCTTGTCCTCGTCCCCGGCGCGGATGCGCACCTGATGATAACCGGCGCGCATGTCGAGAGTTGAGAAGATGCGGGCGTCGCAGAGACTGTCGATGATGTCATCGATGAGGGGAAGAGGGTACGAGTCCTTGACTGTCTGGGCATTCAGCTGTCGGTAGTCGATGCACATCCTTCGGGTCCCATCCTTCTTCTTGACGAAGAGGATGGGGGCGCCGTAAGGACTTGTGCTGGCCTCAATGAGGCCTTTGGCGAGGAGTTCGTCGAGTTGGGTGCGTAGTTCCTTCAATTCGTCCGTTGACAGGCGGTAGGGTGCCTTGGAGGGGGGCGTGGCTCCGGGCTTGAGGTCGATGGCATGGTCGATATCGCGGCGGGGTGGCAGTCCTGGAAGCTCTTCGGGGAACACGTCGGCGAACTCCTCTAATAAGGCGTTGGTGCGTGGGTCCTCACTGGGTGACGGTGTGGTGTCCATGGAGAGCACAAGGACGAAGGCTGCGTCGACTCCTGACCCTCGCAGGTCCTTGGCTATCCGCCTGGCGCTCACGAGGTTGATGGTCGCGTTGTCCGTGGAGGGTGGTTGGTCGCTGAGGTCGGTGTCTTGGGTCTCTTGGGTCTTGGTGTCTTGGTGTCCTTGGGTCTTGGGAGT